GGGCGGGTTTGATGGTGGCGTTGTTGGATGTGACGGAGTAGTCAATGGGGGGTGGTGTCCGGGATATAAGGTTGTTGGTGTATCCTTGCCAAGACAAACTCGGCAAAATAACTTTGATTCCCAAAAGTATGACAATGCGATCTCATATCTCCGTACAAAAGATTCTTGAGTTACTGTCAACTGAATAACTATTTTTAATTTAAAAAATTATTTAGAAAAAACACCAGTGAGAATGAAGTTACAATATACTGTATGTGAACCCAATCACTAAAATCTCATATTCTGTTAAAGATGTTAAGATCGTTTCTAAAGTCATATTCATATCGTAAATCTAAAGATTTAATTGAATTAATAAGTGGTGATCCTGCCATAGAAGTCCTTGTTTGGGCACTTCCTGTTTTAGGGTAACAATGCTCTGTCCCTGCCTCCCAGTTGTTCTCCAACATTAAGATGGAGATTAGAAGTGGACTTTTTATGCATTACTTATGGTTTGCAAGCCTTTTCCAGCACAAAGAGTGGTACAACTTAGTGCATGTTATCCAATGTACAGTGACTGTATATGAATAATGTACAAAATCATATCCTCTGGTCCAAGGTTAGGGCTTAAAGAATATTCAGGTACTTGGTGGTGCCTTTGGGTCACTTGATCATTTGCATGGTGTTTAATTGAGGTGGGGAGAGCACTGAGAGTAGGAAGAGAAACTACAAGATGACATGAAGCGTAGATGGGTAACACTACCTCCGTGCTCCCCTCCTTGTTGGGCACCAAATGTGGGTAATGTAGGAGGCATACCCCAGGGTGGGTTTTTCAGGGCTATTCTGGGCACCTGCAACAGGGTTACTCTTCTTGCACATGGGGTACTTTTACTTGTGCTGATTCTATCAATATCCAGGGACAAGGCTGAGACTGCCGCCAGGGAATACTCACCCTTAAGGCAGGCCTCTGACATTAGAGATGGCTCTGCACTATGAACACTTACACAATAACTGTCCTCCAGTAACTCTCGGGTTCCCGCGTCAAAGTACATTCTGACTGTAATTTGCAATTAGGAGGAATACCTTGAGATAGGCTAAGCTTATGTCCACATCCACCTGTTCAGTGTCCTCCACTACCTCTCTCATGGTAGCAGAACGGAACCCTGTCGTGCACCTAGCGCAGGCTCTGCATGTGCACTTGACTTAACTCTTAACCCCCCGTAGCTCTGCACAGGAGAGGGACCTCTGCAGTGCGAGTCTGCTCCCATTGCTATGGGAGATGGACCACTGGCAGAAGGAGTGCCGACAACATCTCCCTTGCTGCTAGAAGCTATCCTGCCTGACACAAGTATACACCTATACTATGTATAAAACATCTGGGTGTAGTTGTTGGTAATTGCTGAGAGAAGGCTGTAGATAGCTAGAAGTTGAAGAAGAGGTTGAGGGTAGCTAATAATGGTAGTTGTGGAGAAGGTTAGGTGTAGCTAATGACAGGAGCTGTGGAGAAGGCTGGGTATAACTTTTGGCAGCAGTTGTGGAGAAGACTGGCTGTAGCTAATGACAGGAGTTATGGAGAAGGTTGGGTGTAGCTAGTGCCAAGAGGTAGGGAGACGTTTGAGCATAACTAGTGATTGTGAAAAAGACTGGGTATCTAGTGACAGCAGTTGTGGAGAAGGCTGATGTATCTCTTGACAAGACTTGTGGAGAAGCATGGTTGTAGCTAGCGGCAGAAGTGGTGGAGAGGGCTGCTTGTAGCTAATGATGGGAGCTGTGGAGAAGGATGTATGTAGTTAATGACAGGAATTATGGAAATTCTTTGTAGCTAGTGACAGAAGTTGTGGAGAAGGCTGGTTGTAACTAGTGACATGAGTTTTGAGGTAAGCTGGCTGTAGCTAGTAACAGGAGTTGTGGAAATTCGTTGTAGTTAGTGACAGAATTTGTGAAGGATGGTTGCAGCTAGTGACAGTAGTTGTAGAGAAGGCTGAGGTAGTTAGTGACAGTAGATGTGAAGAAGGATGGATGTAGCTAGTGAAAATAATTGTGTAAAAAGATGGGTGTAACTAGAGACAATAGCTAAGGGTATATTTGGGTGCTGCTAGTGACTGTATTGGTGTGGTAGTTGTGGGGAAGGTTAGGTGTTGCCAGTGATGGCAGAGGTGGAAAAGGCTTGGTCTTCATAGTGACAATGACTGTAGAAATGCTTAGGTATAGACAGGTGTTAATTGACAAGACTCAGGGCAGGGAATGAACATATTGGTACAGAGGGGGTATCTAGTTGTGAAGTGTGAATTTACATAGTAACACTAGTAGGGAAGATGCTGTAATTATTGCGGAAACAGTGGAGCTTGTATTCTAGGAGTAAGACACTGGCTGAGTCATATGTGAGGGAGGGTGTCACAGAGAAGGAATACACATAGCAAAAGAAGAGAAGTCAGTTGCTGCTTTATTTGTAGCTGGACTGATAGCATCATGCTGCTGTGCCTGCTGCCTCTCATTCTCCCCTATACTCACTCCTTGAATCTGGATAAGCTGAACCCCCAAAACTTTTCTGGACCCCAAGGCAGTTACTTTGGATTCTCCTTTGATTTCTATCAGCCAGCAGATAGCAGGTAAGTGCACAGGATGGGCTGGGTCTGTATAATGCGTACAAGACAGAAGAGACCTGATTGGGAATTAAACAAACCTGTCATAGCAGGTTATGCCCAACATTTTCTAGGCCAATAAAGTCTCATCTTCAGTCTGAAGGCTGCAGGTAAGAACACCTTGCACCTGTCTGTAGAAATGAACTAAATGTACAAAGTTACTGTTTAGTTATACATTATTAGTATAACAATGATTTCTATTTTTCACTGTTTTATATGACTATGTTAGTGAGTACAGTGTCAGTCCACCCAAAGCTGATATTTTAACTTTGGGAGAGCATTGACTGAGGAGCCCACTATCCACCTACTTTCTTGTAGACCAAGATGTAATATCTGTGCCTCCAATTTTCCAACATATTCCACCATTCACAACCTTTATAGGGATTTCTTGCCCTACTCTGGTTTTCCTTTTATGTACTCTTGCAGAGAATGCAGCAAGAAGAGTAAGGCTACCAAGGAGTCTGAGCTGGGAACTTTGACAAGAAGATTTTATCAGTATATTCCCTTAGAGACAACCACCAGCATTTATCTATAATGCCAATATCACCCTTTAAAAGTTTTCTTCCATGTAAGGAAGTTTTATCTGTGTTTGAAATGTTTTATTCGTAATAGCATGTTAGGCTGATTTCTGAGATCTGGACACCTTCTTTGCTTTGATCTCTCTTACCTCTTAAAAGCTTTTGTTACGCATCCCTGAATTGAATGTACTATATACTAAAAGAAAGACTTGTCTAGTGCTATTATCAAATTAAAAATTCCCCGAGGTCGGTTTGTAACAAAAATAGCTGTACTGTATAAACAGACTAATTTTAGACAAAGGGCCGCCCTCTTTTTGAAAAAAAATCCAGTGACGGCTCAACATCTTGCAACTAAATGCCATGACTTTTACTACTTTATAGAATCAGGCAAAGTCTGAAAGATAATGGAAAATATTAAAAACATCAGGAACAGGAAGGCTTTATATAAGTGCAGCAAATAACAATTCTCCAGGATGCAGAAAATCAATCGCAATAGCACAATTACTTGAAATGTCAATTTGGTGAGGCCTCTCTATGGCACTGGCCTTTGTGGAGACTGCAAATCCCCGAAATGGATTTCCCACCCTATCTAAAACTAATTTTGGTTAAAAACATTTCGGATTCACTCCCATCTTCCTCTTTGGCAGCCAGTGACACTATCAAGCACTCCTGGGTATGGGAGGTCATGTGACCCACTCCCCTGTGACAGTACCTGGGCCCAGTTACTGTCACATGACTAAATTAAATCAACGCTCTTTCATGTCTCTGAATTTGGCACCAGGAGCAATAAAAAAGAAGTGGAGAGGGGTTCCAGCTAAGGTGAGTATCACTGGGTCAAGGGGTCCCTTTGCATTTTTCCTTGTGTGGGCTAGGTGACAGTATCACTTTAAGCTGAACCTGGGAAGCCCACGGAAGTGTCACTTGAATTCTTCTGATAGTTGCCTGGCTGCCAGCCATATGCATTTGCTGATTTTGAGTCATTAGTATAAAAGAAGGGAAATATGACATGTTGCCATTCAATTACTATTTTCTTTCCAGGGTTTGTAGAGGAAAAGTATTGAATTCAGACACAGCCTGACACTTAGCATTTTCAGAAGCAGGCCAACAATGGCAGCTTTTATATTTCATATTTCTGTCTTGACATAAAATATGGAAACGTGAAGAACTGATGTTTTGCCTAAAAAAAGCATAGCCACAATGCAATAGAAAATCTATTGTGACAGTACCTGGGCCTTCTATAGAAACTGACGAAATACAGGACAGGTGTCGGCATATAATTGACCCCGTGTCTAATGTTGGAGGAGAGATGCAGACAATAATAATAAATGCATTATAAGAAAAAGAGAGGAAGGCGCCTCTAAGTGCAGTATTGACAATTTATTTAGTAAACAATGGATAAATTGCACTTACAAAATAAACGGTTAAAAAGACTCATCGTGTAGTAATTAGATCCAGGTGGGACATCCAGCCGTCCAGCAGTAAAACTATGTCTATAGGATCAGGAAGTAGAGTCCAGGATGTACCTATGCATCAAAAATGAAGCTTGGAGAGCAGAGTCAGATGTAGCAGGTGAAGGGGGCGGTAATGCATTTCGGAGCATGCTCAATAGGCTCCTTCTTCAGACCTCAATAAATGATACTTGCTGTATAACATACATTACACTCCAATATCTTCATTTGATTATGAACACATAACATTCCCCCCCCCCCCCCCCCCCCCCCCCCCCCCCCCCCCCCCCCCCCCCCCCCCCCCCCCCCCCCCATCTGTGTATAATGCACATTGAAAGAACATTTGTAGTTAATTTTACCAAGTGCATGATACATGTCTGAGTGACACATAAAACTTCTTCCTTTTTTCTCATAGCATGCACATAGTTGTGGGGGCTCCCAAACTGAACACAATGGTTCAGAATGTCAGCAGTGGTGGAGGTGTGTTCTTATGTCCATGGGGTTCACAGACCAGCAGCTGCTCCGTTATACCCTTTGATCAATCAGGTAACGTTGAACATGGGTTGAATAAAGTGTATAATAATACTATATGGCACTAGTGTAATGTTTAGTTCTCTATAAGGATGAGGATCCATTGGCTGCAGAATGGGGCCCTAATGACAATTCTAACCCCTGGTTAACACCCCCACTGCTTGTGCAAGCAATAGGAAAGGATTAAAGCAGAATGGACATTTAGGCAAGGTAGCAACTTTGCCCTCTCCACCTCTTCGAATGACATTGATAAGGATTGCAATAAACATATAGAATCCATCCCATTGGCGCTGTCTATACTGGTGTGGTCTCACCAGACATCAACTGCCTACTACTGCATCCACCCTTGTGAAGTGACCAATAGCACTATCTCCCTGATTTACTGCAGGAGCAAAAACGTTGTAGGTGGACTCCCTGGACGTTCACCAGGCGCAAGGCTCCTGATTGGTTATCTTCATGGATGATCCGGTCCTTGCAAAAACAGAGACAATCTTGAAATTGTAACTGTTTAAACAACTAGGTCCCTGCCTATTTTGGATACCTGCTGTTTGTTTTAGGACTAGTGTACACTGCAGCTGAGAAACTGACGTTCAGGAGCAGCCCCTGAACTCTCCTTAATGTTTTCCTATGTCGTTTACAGTCCTTTACAGGCAGTTGAGTTTACAGTCGGTTTTTTGAACGCACCAAACTTGCGCTCAGGAGTAGATTTTTCCGCTGTTCCAAACGCTTGTAAACACGGTTAACTGCGTTTATAAGCGTTTGCGTTTAGAAGCGTTTTTTAACTGTTCCATGTCCAGATGCTGTCCAGAGCCTTTTTTCATCATCAGAAATGCATGCAAAGTGTTTTCCAGGTACTCAAATGGACCCGGTACACCAGCGCAGTCAGTTGCAGGTTTTGCGTGAAGGAAAAAATGGTAGAACGCACCACATTATGCTCATGATGGGATCCATAGTGAATACAACCAGAAAAGACAGGTCATCTCAACACATACTGCTCTCTCTCTGCTACTGCTCTCTCAATCTCTCTCAAAATGTCTGAAATAGTTGTTTTTTTTACTGTTTTTCAGTGCATTCTGGGCATTTGGTAGGGTCTCCTGAGGCTAGCTTTTAAAAACGCTTCTAAATGCAAATGCTCATAAACGCGTTATGCAAACGCGGCTAAACAGACGTTTTTTAACCAACGTTTTCCAGCAGTCAGTTTTCATCGTTCAGAAGAGTTTTCCAAACGCTCCGTGTACATGAGCCCTTACCAGTTTATTGAGATTTTCCTTTTTGGGTGCTCTTGTCGGTCCTCCTTATGCTCTTAAGCCATTGGAGCACTCATACCATATTCTGTTGCATCTGGTATTTGTTCCTTCTATTGTTTCACAGTGTTGCCCTTCCGCAGGAGACACATTTCAAACCAATGAAGGGAGAATGACCATTTATAAGTCCAACCAGTGGCTTGGAGCAACTGTTAGAACTTGGAAGTCCAGCATTGTGGTATGATTACATTTTTTTCTCTGTGTTATGATACATATAGATCATTTAGACAAGTGTGGAAGTAACATTTCTGATCACAGGGAACCAAAGTTATAAACTGGATATGTTTAATTTGGGACTGTAGAGTGGTATTGTATGTATTTAATTTTTTTTATCATGGACTCAAAAAATAAAATGTTATACGTGTTTTTAGGTTAGGTAAATGTGGCGTATTGTGTAGTAACATTAGATAGTGTTCTATCCAGCTAACAGGTGGTGCTCTAGTCTTATTTCTCAAAGCAAGGCAATGTATCGCTCTCAGCAGTGTTTTGTCTTATGTGCTGCCTCTATAGTTAACCCATTGTGTTTTGTGCTCTGGGAATCCTTTGTCATGTAATGTACAGCGCTGAACGAACTGTTGGCGCTTTATAAATACTGTATAATAATAATAATAATATTATACATTTTTTGTTGCAAAAACTCTGTGTGTGTGTGCATTAATTATGCAGTACAATCTGCAGTCATAACATGTGAGCCCAGCATTGCACAGCATTAAAACCTAGTTAAAAAAAACAAAACTTTTGAAAGTGTACAATGCCATTAAAGGAGAATTTCAGTGCATACTGCGTTGTTTTCAAACAATATAAAACTAAGGAATCTACCATTTTCTCACCTTTGTGCTATTTGAGGGGAATTAATGAATGTGGAGGTAGAGTTCAAAATCTATTTGACTTTGTTCTGCTGTCCTTCCAGGCCTGTGCTCCTCTTCAGCAATATAACTATGAGGACCTAACTGTTAGCAAGACTGGACATTCGGGGAAGACTCCAACGGGGGCCTGCTACTTCACCGAAGACCGGAAAAATTTCTACGAGTTTGCTCCTTGTCGACAACCCGTGACTGAGAGACTTCTCAAGTGGAGTCGTTATAGTGTGTAACATTCCGCAACTGGCCATAACTTAATAGATACAAAAATAAGTTTCCAGAATAATGGTCCTTGACTAGCACAACCTTAACCACTTGCCGTCCGCCTGCTGTTTATAAACGGCAGGACGGTGGCACTCCAGGGGCGGGTTGCCGTTCATAAACGGCACCCGCCATTTCTAGCTGTGCGCGCTCCCTGGGAGCGCGCAGCACCACGATCCGGTGCCCGCTGTGTCCTCCGGGCACAGTGAAACACCGATCATCGGACGGGAACTCTGTACGAGGTCCTGATCATGTGATCGCTGATTCGCCAATCAGTGATCACATGCAAAGTAGTAAGCAAGATGTCACTTGTGACATCATTGCTTACTACGTGTGAAATCTGTGAATGATCACAGAGGTCACATGGTACAAGACTATTCACAACAGCCTTGTACCATGTGACAAGCTGTGACCAATCACAGCTCACTCAGAAGTTCTCAATGGCTGCAAAAAGCAGACAGAGAGAAAGAGAGATGATTGCTTTTACATCCTATATGGGTGTAAAAGCAATTACTGTAAAAAAAAAATATCTTCATCACTCCTCACAAGTAGTACAGTGTCACCATGGTGACACTGTACTGCTAGGGTGACAGTATGTAAAAAAAAACCCAAAAAAACATACATAATAATATAAAAAATATAAAAATAAAAATGTAAAAAAAAGTTTAAAAATTATAATTTTTAGTTATAAACTAATTTGGCTTATTTTTTTTTTTACTAAAAATATAACTGAATACATTGCTGCCAAGATTTATGATGAAAGATTATTTATTTGCAAAATTTTATAAGAAAAAACACTTTTTTTCTAAATTTTTGGACGTTGTCATTTACATGGCAAAAAAAAAATAAAAATCCCAGCGGTGAATAAATACCACCAAAATAAAGCTTTATCTGTCTAAAAAAAATGGTAAAAAATTCATATTGGTACAGTGTTGCATGACCGCTCAGTTGTCATTCAAAATGTGATAGCACTGAAAGCTGAAAATTGGCCTGGACGGGAAGGGGGTAAAAGTGTCCGGACTGGAAGTGGTTAAAGAGGAAAAAACCTTGGTATCTTGCCAAATGCATTCCTGCAAGTTCTGCCTCTGTTTCCAGCCTCTACAATGGTGTCACTCACCCCTCTCCTACTATCCTTTACTGTTGATCTGTGCAGAGGAGTAGGCTGCAAGGCAGAATTGCAGACCTTTGCATGATCTTCCATGTCCTTGCATCTTCACATGGAAGAACATACATATCTAGTCCCTAGGATAAAACTCCCACCCAAATGCTTTCTTACCTAGTGCGTTGGAAACAGCTTCCCTCTTTGTTTATATCCCCTACAGCTAAATCTAGAGCATCACTGTCCACACCTGGATAATATCATCCCGTAGCTTTGAATGGGACATTGGCCCAACAGCACAAGCGCATCCCATTCAAGTCTATAGGACAGCTATTTTCAACAAGAGGATCCTAGGGTTTCTCCAGAGTTTGCTAGGGTTCCTTGACCTGTAACTGATATCTCTCCTATCTGATGTTACCTGGATAGCTCTGTGTCCAATACCTCTTGGCAGAGCCAACAGCATGACACTAATGATCTTTTCAGCTGTCAGTAAGAGTGGGATTGTGACCACCATTCCCACTTGGTGTGACAATTAATCCCACTATTCCCTGATTAACTGATTTAGCAGGGGTTCCCTGAGACCTAACAAAAATGTCAAAAGTCCCTCTGAGGTGTAAAGGTTGAGAAAGGCTGCTATAGGATGTTACTGACTGGGTGCCAAACAGGATATAGATAATGCAGGAGGCTGCTTCCGTCAGCTTGTGGTTGGGGATGGGTGGTCAGCTTAGGATAGCTCTTATTACTTCTAACAAAACTTCTATAAAAATATTAAAATATACCTGCTGCCATTTCTATTGTTTGTGTTAATGAACGGAAGGGTCAGAATATCTGTTAAGTCTGTCTGTGTCACCCTCTCTGGTGTGGTGACAAACTTTACAAGGACAGACAGTGATGGGAAATCTAAAATTCCATACTTGTCATCTGAGCAGAAAGTGGAATCCCCACAACTGGACACAGGCTGCAAAAAAGCCTCACGGGGTCAAATATTTCTCTACTCAATCCAAAAGTTTTTTTGAAAAGTTCTGGCTTTATTATCTATCAGTAGCTCGGCTTTAGATATATAGTATTTAAATAAATCTGAACTCCAGCATAGGCAAATATTGTCTAACTACAAAAGTCATGTGCATTGTAATGTGACTCTTGGTGTACTTTGCATGTTCCTTCCATATGTGTGCAGCAATCCAGTGTGAAACCTGTGTGCAGAAGCCTCCTGTAATAAAGACCTGTCACCGTTGCTCTCTCTCCTTGTGCAGGGGGACTGGTCTTGTCTATGCCCCCTCTTGTAGTTTTCTGCAGGCTGCCTGTAGTGGGTGAAGCCTACAGGGCCCCTCCCACAGTTCTGCACAGTAGTGATATCATTTCTACTTTTACAAAATAATAGCTGGGTTTACAAAATGCATTTAATGCACACACATTGGATGTACTGTATGTCCTTTTGTGGCGGTTGAGGAATATATTTAAACATTTTGTGCCTGGAATTCAGGTTTAACATTAAAACGTAGTACAATTTCAGAAAGTTTTGATTGTTACCTTTTTGTAAGGTCATTTTTTAAAGTAGAATTTCATATTTTGTAAGACTATACTTGCATACAGAGCTTCCACTAGGCAAACTAGGCAGCCACCTAGGGGCACCTGGGAGTAGCACAAGCCGGCAATCTCTCTGTGCTGGATGCTGCCAAGTAATGAATGATCCTTCAGCTAATGAGAGGGGCAGCAGAGGGGAGAAAGAAAGGAGAGAGGAATATGCTGGGTGTCTGGGGCCAGTGTAGTAGCTGTGCTGCGGGTCCTTCCAGTGTTCCTCTCAGACACAGTCCTTTACTGCAAGCTGGCTGGCGGCTGCAGATCACTGTGGAGTTTCAGCTCTTCTCTTCCCATTCATCAGCGGAGGCGGAGCCGCCCCTGCGGAGGAAGGTAATGTCTGACTCTGATGTCTTGTCTCTGTGTGAATGTGACCTGTCTGGCCGGCCGGCAATCCATCGCATGTGCAATATGTCAGTGATGACATTATCATGATCCCACTGCTTGCTCTTCTAGTGCCTGCTGGACCTGCTGCTCTGTGTCAGTGTGTTGTGTCAGATCTGTCACTGTGTGGAATCGCTCAGCTCAGGTGTTCTCTGTGTGTGTGTGGGCTGGGTTGTCTGCTGTCACAGCATTTTACCTCCCCCCATTGCCTGGGGAATTCCAGCCTGGGATCTGTGAAAGTGTGAATCTATAATCCTCCACTCACTGCAACTGTCACCCTGCCCCTGCCAGCAACAGATACAGTCCATCAGTGACACTGATTTTGTCTTTAATTTTGGTGCTAGTGGCATCTTATGGCGCTTATTTTTGCAAATTAAAAAAAAATTTGCAGTTTCATGTTTTGTTGATTTAATATTTTTTACTGTTTTTAAATGTATTTATTTATTTGGAGGGGATGTGCAAGTAGCTGGTCTTGCCTAGGGCGCAAAAAAAGCACCATCCCTGCTTGTATAGTGTCAATAGTATTGACTGTTCAATAGAAATAAACTCATTTGGCCTTAATCACATACTGTATATGAATACATAGAGTATATTTATAAATCATACACACCAGGGGCAGACTGACCATTTGGAAACTCGGGCACTGCCCGAGAGACCGGGGTCAGTAGGGGGCCCCATGAGATGCCCCTGGTACCTTTTTGATAGGCTTTTTTGAGTTTGGGCAAGGACACAGGGGCCCCATGATCCCCTATTGCCTGGGGGCCCCATGAGTTGTTAGTCCACCCCTGATACACACGCATAATACTGTATGTTTAAAGCCCAGCTCCGGGCTTCCCCCCTGGACACCCACCACGACTATATTATTGCTTTTTCTAAAAATACTTTTTTCAGGTCAATCACATATGGAGTGGGGACCTCTTTGTATTTTCTCTGCAGAGCTCTCTTCATCATGACACAGAATGGCACGTTAATGCCTTCTAAAAAGGTGGATCCATGATGCTCTGCTCTCAGTTTTTCCTCGGGTTAAATGACGCTAGGAGTTTTTTTTTTACTTAAAGTTTTTCACAGAGTTTGACAAAACTATTTACACAAAACGAATTATGCTAACACAAAAACTCTAGAAGAAGACTAAATCATCATCCCCCCCCCCCACCCCCGTAATTATATTTTGGCCTACTGATGGCTGGCTGTTCTGTGTTACTGCCCTGTATATAAGAACTGAAATGTGGAAATGTCTTTGTGTCTCCTATTATGCAGCACAAGATAACCGTTACTGTGAGATTGGATTCAGCACAGAAATAAGCAAGGTAAGTCCACAGCCTCTAGTTATTAAAAAATAAAAAGAATAATGAATAGTATACTATATACCTGCTTCTTTCTTGCATATTTGAATATATGCAAAGTTAACCCCCGGGCAGGTATGAAAACACAAATTAATGCAGCTCTCTCTTCATTAATACTTAACTAAATATGTATTGTGTTAAATGTAAAAAGACATTTATTCTCGAAATCTATCAGTAATCCTACTGAAGAATGCTACAGGCAGTATAAGGTATCTTCTTAGCCTGCAATGTCTATAGTACAGGTGAATGAGTTTAAAGTGTACCTGTGGTCTTGTAGAACATAACACAATGCAAAGGGAAGTGGTCAGGGAAGAAATTACCAACCATGTTTCTTTTCACTATAAAGGTTTTGGTGAATGTTGGAAGAATGATGCCTTTTACCAGTAAGGCTCACCCTCTTAATATATTTATGCTATTGCTTTTAGAGACTAGGTTGGAATTAGGCACGTTGGATATTTTTTAAGGGCAAGCTCCAGGGAGGAAACAAACTGAAGGTGAAAATGGGTTTTAGAACCAGATGGCAAATTACATGTCCTTCCCTAGTGCATTCTCCTGAATATGAGATGACCCTGACACACAAACATATTTCATAGCAGTACACAATTAATAACAATAGTACTTTCTGAATGATAGCTTATCCCAGTGCCAAATGGTAATTTTTTTGGTTGGTTTCAATGATGTTTGATGATTTAGATGACTGTAGAGCACTGCATTGTTTGTAGAGTACTTCCAGGTAGATTGGATCCATTTGGTTCTCTGAGAATGAACATTACCCTTTGGCTTTCAGTATCATGCGGAATTGCTTAGCAATGGCCAAAGAGTTATAGATGGACTGTATAGGAGTGTCTATAAATTTAGTTCTGTATGGCTGTAGACAGCCAATTCTAATTTGTAGTCTGAGGTTTGTAGAGCTTTGCCCTACATTCAGCCTGGCTCTGAGTTCTCCCTTCTGTTAGTAGGTGGCACTGTCACTTATGGTATTAGTGTGAGATCTTAAAGTAAGCCTGGGTTATGAATATGTATATCTTTTCCCAGCCCGCCACTAGAAGTTTCCTTTGCATGTGGTGCATTATGGGAGAGGGTATAAATACATGGGTCTGGCTGATGCAAGCTTTCTTCCCCCAGGCTCTGGCCTAGGGAGAATGCATGTGATGAAGCTACTATTTTAGGCCTGCCCGCCTGATAGGGCCTGGGGTGTGATGAGGCCTTTAGCTCAGGCCTGGTGCTGCTGATCTTCATTGGAGGCAAGATGGAGCTCCATGGAGGCTGGTTGATTCTCTTGCAGAAGTTTAGGAACAGGTTGGAGTCCCATGGAGGCTGGTTGATTCTCTTGCAGAAGTTTAGGAACAGGTTGGAGTCCCATGGAGGCTGGTTCCATGGAGGCTGGTTGATTCTCCTGCAGAAGATTAGGAATAGGAACACAATGGAATTCCATGGAGGTTAGTTGACTCTCCTGGAGATAAATTGTTGCTGATCATCTTGTTCACAGAAGGATGCTAAAACGAAGGTGGTTCACATTTGACTTAAAGGCCCTTTTTTGTTTCATCTAAAAGTGACTGGTATCCTTCTGTCTATATGTCCCACTATGCCTACATGATCTACCCCTGAAGTGTAATGTCAGCCCACCATTTCTCTGAGGGTACTACCCACTCCTGGTGGTCAGGTGGCTGCTACAACGGTCCACCTCTGGTGGACATCTGCATTTGGCACCAGTGTTTGGATCTATGGCAGAAGATGCAATACTGACTACTTGTATTGGGTGTCATTTCGAAATCTACGATGGTATTTCTTCATCTAAGGACCCTTCTGCTGTGTTGCTATACTGAGCTTTTTCTTTACCTTCCTGATTGTATTAAATATTTATTTTAATCTAGATCTTTTGTACTACATCACTTATACCAGATTAGAACCATGAATGGCTTTCTTATCTTGGATTAGAACCAAGCTGTCCTTTTCAGTAGAGACAATGAGAAGCTTTGCATAAAGAACATGAGGCCCCACTTATAATTTTATCTCCAGGAAGAATTAGATTGTAATGCCCATAGCAACCAGTTTCTCTAGTACCTTCACATTTAAGGCACTGGCAGGGGGGGGGGGGGGGAAGGGCTATAGGAGTTGTAAACCCTATGTACATGGGTTTTTTTTTGGTGTCAGAATCACTTTTCTCCCAATTCCATGTCATTAGGAATGCAGAAGCAGCTTGATAAAGGTTAGGACAGGGTTTAGGTGCATCTATAAAGGATCCCAGATGAAATATTAGCTGGTCATGCATCATGCAAATTTCATCTGTGTACTGAGGAACAGGCCCAAATTCACTCAGGTGGTGACTCTGCTGGTCTTGCTCTGTTCAACAAAAGTTTATAGTTTGATCAACCTTTGTTAAAGGAGTCTGCTGGTAAATTTTCAGCAAGCCAGCAGCTGCATCTGATCAGATATCGCTGCTATTTCAGCATTTTGATGTTATCTGTCAAAGTACAATAGCCTCAGCAGGAGATTTGTCCATCAGCCCTGTATAGTGTGCACGGAGGAATCTGTTCATTTTTTTTAAATTTTTCCTTCAGCCTAGAGGCTGAAAAAAAAGATCATTGCATAGCAGGTTTTAGAGGCATTTGAAACTGAATGCCTTTGAAAGCATGCTACATTTACCTATCTACACAAGCCTCTACTGTATGTACAACCATATAAAAGATCATTTTCTTCAAGCATTTTTCAGCTACTGTTGATAATGCAACTGTACAAAGTTCTCTTTTTCTTCCTTTTTTTACAGAAAGGTGTTTTGCTAGCTGGAGGACCTGGCGGGTATTCTTTTGAAGGTAGATATTCCACTGTAGCTTTATAAAAAGCTCATTTTAAGTCTCTTTATTTCTTTTTGTGCCCACAGATATATATTCAGAATAAAAAGACCAATACGCAGAAGTCAGTCAGTTAGCCATTATAAATAATGCAACCAAAAGATATGTTTTTCCCTTGATAGTTGTATAGATATGCAAGCCTCTGTTCCATGAGAACCTTGAACTGTGGCTCTAGTGCTTTTTTATATACTTAAACTACATCTAAACCCAAAAATGTACTATATTGCAGCTTTACAGTCTGTATTAGTTTTCTCTTGTCAAGCCTTTTTCTTTATTTTCACTTTGAGATCCTGCCATTAACACACTTAATGTCGTATGTTAACAACACTCACTCACTGTATTGCATCAGGGTAACAGCTCATAGGCTAGACTTACTTTACCAGGAAAAGCTTCATACTACTCCTTGTTTGTGAAGGTCTCGTGCAATAACTGTCTTATGTCTAGTTTTGGCTAAGATCAAGTGTAGTATCTGTTCTTATCAGTGTCCAGTAGGGGTGCTCCACGGTCATTCTAGCTTTGCGGGGATGACTGTTTGTATAGTACCCCTGCTGGTATGATGGGGGTCCTGATGGCTATTATGGGGGGAACAGAAACCGGGAGCCTACGAGTAGTAGCTGGGGCCTGGGAGTAAGTCCCCTTTGGAACGTCAGAGGGACCCAGTACCTTCTGATTTGGACAGATCTACCTGGTCTGGCCAGGGGTCGGGAAGGCAGAAAGTCCGCAAACCAGTGCCCCCTGAGTAGTCGCCTAGGGGTGCCCTTAGTAGCACCTGGGTGTGGGACCCCACAGTGTGAAAATGGCACATGGTCACTGTGTTTACCACTTTTTCCTGCACAGCGCCCTTAGGACCAGGCCTTTTGGCTAGGACCAGGGCAATTTTTGCTACAGGCCTCTGCACTATTTGGCACGACCACTTTTTTATTTTCTATTTATTTAATTTATTACACCTCCCACGTTTTGTCACTTTTTCTTACTTATGTGTGTGTTTTTCTCACAGGATGGAGGGTGTGGGTCCTCGGGCCTGCCCTGAAGTCTAGGGGAGGATGTGTGGCCTTTTGGTTCCTTCCTCCCCTGTCCCTAGGGGGTTTTCTCTTCGGGAGAGCCCCCTGACCAAGTACTGGGTGTCTGGCTTCGGCTGGACACAAGGAACGGTGGTCCACCAGGCCTTTTGGCCAGGAAGACTAAATGGGAACTTTGTCCCTGTCAGGAGCTTCGTGCCCCGGGGGATCAGGGTAGTGGTCCATCCCCTTCGGGGGAAGGACAAAGCACACCCCTAAGTGCACTTTTTCGTGTGGTGTTTTACACTTGCACTTTTTTTGTGATTCACTTACGGTTTTTTTTTCGCTATCTGCATGTTTGCGGACTTAAAAAGAAAAAAAAAAAAAAGACTGTCTTATGTCTAGTAAAAGGTTACAATCATCCTTCATCCAAAAAGTATGTTTTTTGTGTTTGATGGATATTGCCAGGCAAGTTCACTCTTTGGCTTATTGCATTTTTTGGGCCTCCAGCGAAAGACAAAGAGCAAAAGTAAAGTAGTGTGATTTTATCACCAGTCCAGAAAGTGAATAAACATTGATTGAACCAGTTGGCAACATTATTTTTGGATTTGCTGTTTCACGTAAATCTGCCTTTTCAGCAATGGCTATATTTGGTTTACATTCTAAAATATAAAGATTTTATAGCAATGCTCAGGTTGCATCCCTATAATTCAAGCTTTGTCATAGTGATATTCTAGTAGAAACCACTATTGGTGGGTTAGATGTTTACCCAACCAATAAGCATCTTTCATTTTATTTTGGTGTAAGTACCTCATTTTTTTTTCTGTCATCCAGGACTCTACGTTACAATCCCTCTTTCCAGTATCCCGGTAAATTCTGCAGCCATGATAACGGAATTTCCTGACCTCTACATGTCAGAGGAAAATTCTCGTGTGTCTAACGCCTATAAAGGTATAAAAATTTGATTGCATTCATAGGGTATAGAAAAAGTTTTATTCAGTATTTCTTGCAATATATCTGATATATATCTCAGCCAAGCTACAGTATTGATGAGACTAACCAAGTGTTTGATTGATCTGATCCATCCTGTAGGTATAAATTAACCACCTAACTTCCGGCCAATGTTTACATATATGGCCAGACAGGAGCATGCATCAGCGCGTTCTGTGACCACTGTGTCCACCAGACAGGGGAACACAGATCAGGGTAAAGGGTCGCTGTGACTGGCCCTGTACTATGTGATCATTGTGACCAAACACAGCATTCACAGTAAGAAGCAGTAATCAATGTCTGTCATTCGTGATGCCACTGTTTACTACTGTGATCCCTGTGACTGGTCATAGCAATCACATGGTGCAGGGTCAGGCACAGTGGCCCTGTACCATGTGATAGCTGTGGCCAATCACAGTTATCATAGTAGTTCTCAATGGCTGCATGAATGCAGATGAACACTGTCAGAAATCATTGCTTATACAGCCAGAGTATCATGGGGCCACTTCAAGGACACAAGAGATATGGTAGGTAGTCTGGAAATTAGATGCATAATTTATGCCCCTAGAAAGGTGCTCCTTGGATTTTTGGCCCCGCTATACATCTAGGCTGTGAAAAAGTATCACACTTGTGGTATCTCCATACTCAGGAGACAGCAGACTGTGGGGTGTAATTGTCAGTATGTCTATGCTGTGTGAGAAATAACTTATTAAAATGACAACTGTGTGAAAAAAAAAAATAATAATTTCTTAATTTTACAATAAATTATGACAAAAAAATTACAACTTCAAAAAGTTCACCATGCCTCTTACAAAATATCCTGGACTGTCTACTTTCCAAAAAGTTGCCATTTGGGGGGTGTATTTGTTCTCTCCTAGCATTTTAGGGACTCAAGAAATTAGATAAGGCAGTCAGTACATCAAGACTCATCAACTTTCAAATATATATATATATATGTAGCCACGCTGTCTTAAACAGGGGCTGTTGGCTAAATTTAGCTTTTAACAACTGGGTGATAGTTAGCTCAGACTGACTGCGTAGTTTTCACTTGGTCTTTCCCTAAGCTCAAGGTGGGTTGTGATTTCTCATTGCTGCCAGTAGGTGTCAATGGTACCTCTGGCAATAGTATGAGATTTTATACCAAGACGGAGTTATGAATATTCATATTTCCTTCAGCTAACCCAGTAGGAGGGTTAAGGCATTGGTGCATGCTGGGGGAGGATATAAATACTTTGGAAAATCCTGGTGATCTCTCTCTACCCTCAGGCTGAGGCCTGGGGAGGTGGTGCCAGACTGGGTTCTGCTATTAGGCCCCATAGCCAATGTGGGACCTAACATGTGCTGAATATGGGCTGAGGCCTGAAGTGGTCCCGTAGCTGTCCTGCCTGGTGATGGAAGAAGCTGTGCCAAAGAGGAGACCCAGGAGAGGAGCCTTGCTGGAGAAAGTCAGGAAAAGGGCTGGTTTCTTTCAGGGCCTATTGACTTGCTTGGAAGAAACACTGAGCCTAAGAAACAGAGTGAGAATTCTGTGCACCAATTAGGATGCTATTTATAGTTGGCATAGAGGTTCTGGCACTTTGAACCTGGACATGGATCTGAAGAGTCTGTAAGTGATCTTCTATAGTAGTGGTGCTCTGCCTTAACCCTCACCTTCTTGATTGTTCTGCAATAAATCTTTAAAAAGGCTAAAGTGACTGGTGCCCATTGTATTTTCTGGTTCCCCATCTTAGCCATGGACTCAGCCCTGCGGTGAAATGTTGGTCCACCCCCTGCCTCTGGAGGTGCCACCACCACCATACCTCTGGGTTGTCAGGGAGGTGCTGCCTGGGCTGGGACAAGGGGTGGGCAGAAAAGGGCACATGTCCTGGGGGGCAGAGGCGCTATATGGAGAAGGGGCACTGAGAGCTGATGAGCACTCTGATCTCTAGCTACCTGAATGAAAGAAGTGATGCTGCCATGACACCCTCATTGTTATGGTACTTAGCGGTCTGCCCAGAGTATGAATGCACTATAGGATCAAACATAATGGCACTCAAATCAGAAATGGTTACCGAATGAAACCCTTATAGAACATAAACCGTTAATCTATATAAATCTAAATTATACTACTCTGGTTACTCTTAGAGGAGCCCCTGTTTTTCTGTTTCTGTCTAATACTGCACAATTCAGTCTGGTAAATCCACCATGGAGACAGCCTTGGAAGACTCAGTGAGATACATGGAATACAATCTAATATGGAGGCATGCATTGTTCACCTTTATACACAGGGCTTTTTTTATATACTGTATATATTGACAAGTTTGTATTGTCATCTGTGTGCCTGCTGGTGAGATTCACCCTCTTTTGTTGACCATTTATCACCAAGACAAGAAAGTGATGAGGAAACCAATGTTTTACAGACAAGAAATGAGATCAGTTCTTCCAATGGGGCCACCTGTTTCAGTGACAGCTGCCTTAAAGCAAATTTCCTCTCACTTCCTGTTGCATCCCTGAGACAGGAAGTGAAATGAACTAAGCAGAAAGTAAACTGACAGGGACTTCAAAACTTCCCTGCTCAAAAAAACTGAAAACAAAATGGCTGTACATACATTTAAATGCCAATCATGTGATTAAAGATTTTAATTTGGATTATCTTACTTCTTTAGGTTTTGCAGTTGCGTATGGTGAATTTACAGGGGATGACTCTCCAGGTAGGATGAAGGAGATTGGTAATGAGTAGCGAGTTTTGTGATACAAGTTCATTTTCTACACTAGGGTATTGTTACCATGCACTACACCACATAGAAATAGAAATTTCAGTTTTGATGGAGTAGGTTGAGCAGTGCTTATTACCTGTCCATAGCTCTCCCACAGCCTAGAGTTGCCTTGGCAGTACCCGTGTGGTATGCCTGTGTGTGTGTGGGGAGATGCAGTGTGGTGCGGGCAGTAAATACAGAGTCCGGTTGCAGTAAAACTTGGAACTTGTATTAAACAAAATGCCAAGGTTACAAACACCCAGGAGAGCACTGCTAGGGGAATAACTCAAGTTCAATGTATTCAGATGTAGAGGAGAGTAGGTGCCGACAGCGTCTGTTTCATAGGGTGAAGCATGGCAGGGAAGGGAAACTTCTTTCCAGGATAGCGAGTCCCTAATCTTTCCTTCCTCATCAGAAACCTTTACCTACCACTAGTTACTTTCCTCAGCAAGTGGGGTCTCTCTCCCTACACTAGCCACACACCACAAGTGATTCAAAAACCAAAGTACAGGGACTTAAATAGACTCTGCAGACCCAAGATGGCCACCGAGGGTCACATCGTAGCCAACCAAAACGCTTCTGCATTGAAACAGAGAGAAACGTTTCTCTTGAACTTCCTCTACCGGCTGAGATTTGAGCACCACCTGCAATGGAGAAAAACCACACTTGCCTACATGTGGATTCACTGATGTGAGTTAGAGACTTCATAAGGGAGGAGGGAATTACATCGCCCTTCCCAGTAGGTTAATATTTTCAAGACTTTAAATCTGAACTCTATGCAGATATAAAAGGCACAAATTAATGTAGTTTTGTAATCATTATTACATCATTAAATGTATTTTCTTTTAATGAACAAATTGTAGGTACCTGTATTTAACTACATCATAGTCTTGCAGATTAGTGTACAGCTGAGTTTGGGAGGGAAGGGCAACAAAAGAAGCCAATTAGGTATGCTGCAACAGAAGGAGAATGCTGATAGGAGGAGAGTTACAGAGATTTGCTCTTTGGTGTTCTGTTTCTTCTTTCACTGTCCAGTCACAGGCAAGGGTGGTACATCTGTTTGTGAAAGTGAAACTGCAGCTGGGAAAGATCAGTTGCTCTCCCCTATCAAACATAACTGTGCTGTATGGCAGAGCTGTGTAAATCTTGGGGCTGGATGAAAAGAAATGCACATTTTTGGGAGGTAAAAGTGTTCCCTTATATGTGTTTCATCTTTGTATTTAGCCATTTGCCTTGAGTTCAGCTTTAACCAAAACAGTGTTGTCTACCTTCCTTACCTATAGAACATATTATTTTCAGCAGAACAACAGTTGCACTTTAACATAGGTAACTATTTGCTTTATTTCAGAAATTGTTCTTGGCTCTCCAATCATCTTAAGCAAGGGAATGGTAAGTACTAAATGTGGAACATATCCGTTGGAAAGTCTTACATCTCGATGTGCAGCAATGCACTGACCTACTTTTAAAGGTGTGAAGATAGACAGTTTTCGTACAATTATGTTGACTACGCATGCCACCATTTTTTTCATATCATCAATCATTCAATCTGATTTTGTACTCATTTGGATATCTGTAGTTCACTTGTATCCAGTCCAGCCGCATTTAAGATAGCTTATTGGAAAAAAAAAAAAAAAAACACAAGTACTAATTTCCCAATGAATCAATAGCACCACATGATACACAATTTCTGTTAGTGCATTTGGAATTTACCAATACATCTCTTTCCTTTGAAATTTGGATAAAACTGATCAACATGGTAATGAAATAATAAACCGTAATTTATATTTTCAGTCGAAATATTGAAATGATTGTTTCATCAAAATATGGCTACTGGTATAGTTCTTAGTAAAACAAAAAGAGTATTGACATTCAACAAAATGACGCAAAGAAGCCAATTAGGTTTTCATTTTATGGACTTTTGATTCATTGCTATAGTCTACAGCAGTGGTTTCCAAATTGCAGCCCGGGAGCCTGTTGTGGCCCTTTGCTTGCCTTATCCAGCCCTACTATTCATCCTACTGATACGAGGCAATATTCCTCCCACTGACCCCAACAAAAGGGCTTTATTCTGACCACTGACACCAGTGATGAGGAACTATTTCTCCCACTGACACCAACGATGAGGAACTATTTCTCCCACTGACACCAACGATGAGGAACTATTTCTCCCACTGACACCAACGATGAGGAACTATTTCTCCCACTGACACCAATGATGAGGAACTATTTCTCCCACTGACACCAACGATGAGGAACTATTTCTCCCACTGACACCAGTGATGAGGAACTATTTCTCCCACTGACACCAACGATGAGGAACTATTTCTCCCACTGACACCAACGATGAGGAACTATTTCTCCCACTGACACCAACGATGAGGAACTATTTCTCCCACTGACACCAATGATGAGGAACTATTTCTCCCAGTGACACCAACGATGAGGAACTATTTCTCCCACTGACACCAACGATGAGGAACTATTTCTCCCACTGACACCAACGATGAGGAACTAACATAACCAATGAGGCAATATTCATTCTCCTAAAACAAAAGATGGGGCATTGCTAAAGAGTATGTAAACCCAACATTTCATATTCGCGATAGGTGTCTGCTGTACTATGTACTTGTATGAAAAAGTATCCTGTTCTCTTTGCTTCTTATGTGTAAAATGGTGATCCTGTCAGTCCCTCTGCTTTACTAATAAAACGCACCATAGTTCTCTAGCTATGCTAGGAACTCAGCCTGCTCTCCTCCAATGATCAGACATGTCCTGACACGGGTCCCCCACACACAATCAGAGCCATTGACTGGGAAGTTCATTGTACTGCGGTTTCTCCTTCCCCAGCTCTTTTGCAGCTGAGAACAGAGGGGACGAGATCACTTATTAAAAAGGGAAACAAGTGTTTATCATTTTTTTTTATACCTATACACAAATGTTTTGCCTTTCATTTCTATTACGGAATGGATTGTTTTCAGGGGCGGACTGACAACTCATGGGGCCCCCGGGCAATAGGGGATCATGGGGCCCCTGTGTCCTTACCCAAACTCAAAAAAGCCTATGAAAAAGGTACAAGGGGCATCTCATAGGGCCCCCTATATGACCCCGGGCCCTCGGGCAGTGCCCGAGTTTCCAGATGGTCAGTCCACCCCTGATTGTTTTACATGGGTTACATGGGTTTGCATATACTTCAATCCCACTGATGCAGGACATTTTTTTACTCACACTGGCCACAGTTCAGCTCTGCTAAAGTTTGAAGGACAGTAAACTGACCCTTTGTTTAGAAAGTTTGGAGACCACTGATCTACAGTATATTACAATCTTTTTTCTTTGATTTGATCATAAAGCAGATATATTATTTTATCCAATATAATTCTATAGGTACAGAATTTATGACAGCACTGCCAGTCATTTTCAAATGACTCCTTGGGGCTTAAGCTTTTGACTACAAAGAAGTTATTGGCGAGATTTGATATACGCCCAGCTTAAAGTATAAAATCACTTTCAATCATGCTGAGAGATGCATATTCTGTAGGGTACACTATATTGCCAAAAGTATTGGGTCAGCCCTCCAAATCATTGGTCTCAGGTGTTCCAATCACCTTTATGGCCATAGGTGCATAAGACTGCTTCTACAAACATTTGTGAAAGAATGGGTCGCTCTCAGGAGCTCAGTGACTCCAAGCGTGGTCCTGTGATAGGTTGTCACCTGTGCAATAAGTCCATCTGTGACATTTCCTGGCTACTAAATATTCCACGGTCAGCTGTTAGTGGGATTATAACAAAGTGGAAGCAACTGGGAACAACAGCAACTCAGCCACCAAGTGGTAGGCCATAAAGAATGACAGGGAGGTCTGCGCATGCTGAAGCGCACAGTGCACAGAAATCCCCAAATGTCTGCAGAGTCAATAGCTAAAGACCTCCAAACTTGGTGTGGCCTTCAGATTAACACAACAGTAGGTAGAGAGCTTCATGGAATGGGTTTCCATGGCTGAGCAGCTACATCCAAGCCTTACATCACAAAGTGCAATGCAAATCGTTGGATGCAGTGGTGTAAAGCACACCGCCACTGGACGCTAGAGCAGTGGAGACGTGTTCTCTGGAGTGACAAATCACGCCTCTCGGTATGGCAATCCGATGGTTGTATCTGGGTTTGGCAGTTGCCTGGAGAATGGTACTTGCCTGACTGCATTGTTCCAAGTGTAAACTTTGATGGAGGGGGATTATGGTGTGGGGTTGTCTTTCAGGGGTTGGGCTTGGCCCCTTAGTTCCAGTGAAGGGAACTCTTAAGGCGTCAGCAAGACATTTTGGACAATTTCATGCTCCCAACTTTGTGGGAACAGTTTGGGGATGGTCCTTTTCTGTTCCAACATGACTGCGCTCCAGTTCACAAAGCAAGGTCCATAAAGACATGGATGGGATGGGTGAGTTTGGGGTGGAGGAACTTGACTGGCCTGCACAGAGTCCTGACCTCAACCCGATAAAACATCTTTGGGATGAATTAGAGTGGAGACTGTAATCCAGGCCTCCTCCCCCGACATCAGTGCCTGACCTCACAAATGCGCTTCTGAAAGAATGGTCACACCAGTGCACAAAGCAAGATCCATAAAGACATGGATTAGCGAGTTTGGGGTGGAGGAACTTTACTGGCCTGCACAGAGTCCTGACCTCAACCTTTGGGATGAATCAGAGCGGAGACTGTGATCCAGGCCTTCTCGTCTGACATCAGTACCTGACCTCACAAATGTGCTTCTGTAAGAATGGTCCAACCTTCCCATAGACACCCTCCTAAACCTTGTGGACAGCCTTCTTAGAAGAGAAGCTGTTATAGCTGCAAAGGGCGGGGCCATCTCAATATTGAACCCTACGGACTAAGACTGGGAGGCCATTAAAGTTCATGTGCGTGTAAGCAGGCATCCCAATACTTTTGTCAATATAGTGTATATGTCAAGCCTCTTTACAGCCAGCATGAATTATTGAATAATCTGTGTGTAGACTAAAATCAATGTCTTATCTATCACAGGTTGAAATTTATTCAAACGGGAATAAAATAATTACCATCAAAGGAGAACAGGTGAGCATAACGACAAGTAGGTTTGTGGTTCCATTACAGATGTATCTAATCTGTAAACCATCAGCTGCTTTAGACAAAATTGCTTCAAGCAGAAAGATTACTTAAAATATTGCCAGATTTATTGGCATGAAAAAGTGGACCTTTAATGTATCAAGAAAGAAAAGAAGAGGTGTACTGGTGAACCAATATGTAACGAGAGAACCGCTATGTTAGAGCTATTAACATTTAAAACCAAATTAAAAAGACAAAAAAAATGAAACAATAACAAATTAAAAATCTCCATATACAGAACCCTATACCAGAGGAAGGCAAACAAATGCACAGGAAGGCAACAAAAACCTTAAAAATAGAGACCGATGATCCAGGGAATATCTGATTGCCTTTGGGTGTCAGACTCCATTTCATGGCAGGCCGTATCAGCATCATGGTTGCCCTCAAAGGGCTGGTTGTATCTGTAAGACTAAATGTCCAGAGCACCCCCCCCCCCCCACATCAGATGTCAAGAATCCCACACCCTCTCTAACATCACCGTGCACCCCCTTTGGGGGCAGAGCTAGAAAGCAGAAAGTGCAGAGTCTGGAGGAGGACCAAAGGAGGAGTGGAGTCAGTTACCAGAGTCTGCTGAGACCAGGGGAGGCAGAGATGGGGGGGTGCTGCAGCTGCACTGAGAGGTGCAAGATTTGGCAGAGGAGTTCTATTCTCCTCTCTGCTGAGACAAGGGGGTACCTGCAGGAGAGGTGCAGGGCTACTTGAAATGGCCTGGAGGGCCGGATTTGGCCCGTGGGCCTTGTGTTTGACACCTGTGCCTTAGAGGATCAGGAAAGATTTATTTTTCCTATTGGAGCAAGTTGTGCCATGTTTTATTGGAATTATTTTTTGCCTTTCTCTGGATAAACTGTGGGTATAGGGTTCTGTGTGTGCTCTTTTACAATTTATTTATACAGTATTTATTCATTTTTTATTATGGCTCAACAAAATAGACTTGCGCCTTTTACCTAACTATGTAACTATGTAAGAAATTGGTAAGTAATAATGAAATTGGTTATGTTGGCTGGTTTGCCTTTTGGCTAGAGCAATGGTTTCAGTTGTTCTTTTTTAAATATTTTTAAGTGGTAAGTGGGAAGAAATGTTAATGACTCATTCTTTCATAAAATGTTTTGCTATTTATATATAATATATAATAATAGTTCTCTTACTCTTTTTTACTTATTGGGTTATAGCTATTTAGAAGGGGACTTTTTGTTTTCTGTTGGTCTTTACTTGGTTGCTGTGTAGTCCACCCATTCTGCTCTTTTTGCCTCTTTACTGACCCCTTCATACTCTAAGGCCAAGGGAAGAGAATTGTACCTATGGGGTCACAAATGAGCATATAACCTGACAGAGCTTCTCATCCACCATCTAAAAACTAATACACTAAGAGATTTGCTGCTGGTGTTGGGTTGCAAAAAAGCGTAATCCAAAGCTGAACCTCTTAAAACCATCTTATGAGGCTGGGGCATGACTAGATTTGGATAGCATAGAAAGGTCCAACATTGTTGAGACCCTCTAGAGCAGTGATATTGAATTCAAATTCATGGAGGTCTGGTCATTGAAACTTTCATGCGGCAGAGGTCTGAGTCTCATGCTTGTGCTATGACTTGGGTTCTTCATATCACAGCCCCACCCCCTTCTATTACAATTTCCCCTTTACATCACAGCCCTCTTCGCATCATAGTGCCCCCCTTTATACCACAGTACTACCATTAAAATTGCTGAACCCCCTCTTTACATCACAGCACCTCCCTTTACAATACAGCCCTTTCTTTACATTACAGTGCCTGCTTTTCATCACAGCCCCCCTTTGCATTCAAATCCCCCCATATTACATCACAGTGCCTCCTTTACTTAATTGTCCTTTGTCTCCCCTTCACATCACAACCCTCCCACCTTTACATCATTGTCCTCAGCCCCCACCTCACATCACAGTCCCCCTCCCTTTCACATCAGTGTCCTCTGTCACCCCTTTACATCACAGCCCCCTTACCTAAATCCCAGTCCCCTTCACAGCCCCCCCATCCTTGTATCCCAGTCCCCTTCACAGCCACCCTTTTTTGCACCCTAGTCCCCTTTACAGCCCCCCCCCTTACTTACATTTCCGTCCCCTTCACAGCCCCCCCTTCCTTGCACCCCAGTCCTCTTTACGACCTTACTTGCATCTCAGTCCCCTTCATAGCCCGCCCTTACTTGCATCCAAGTCCCTTTCACACAGCCCCCCCCTTACTTACATCTCAGCCACCTTCACACCCCCCCCTTCCTTGCACTTCAGTCCTCACAACCCCCCTTCCTTGCTCCCCAGTCCCCTTCACAGCCACCCTTTTTTGCACCCTAGTCCCCTTTACAGCCCCCCCCCCCTTACTTACATTTCCGTCCCCTTCACAGCCCCCCCTTCCTTGCACCCAGTCCTCTTTACGACCTTACTTGCATCTCAGTCCCCTTCATAGCCCGCCCTTACTTGCATCCAAGTCCCTTTCACAGCCCCCCTTTCTTGCACCCCAGTCCCTTTTACAGCCCCCCCCCCTTACTTACATCTCAGCCACCTTCACACCCCCCCCCTTCCTTGCACTTCAGTCCTCACAACCCCCCTTCCTTGCTCCCCAGTCCACTTCACAGCCCCACTCCGTTGCACCACAGTTCCCTTCACAGCCACCCTTCCTTTCCGCCCATTGACTGGACATGCTTTGCCTTCTGCCTTCTGCCTTCTATAAAGATGAATGCTGTGGCAGCAGCGGCAACCCGGCTGTGGGGGGGGGGGGGGGTGAGGGGGGTAGGAAGATATCAGCTGCAGAGGACATCCAGGCTGCTAAGGGTCGGAGCCACGGTCCATATAGGATTGTCATTTGGTCCATTTGCAAACCGTGGTCCGCCATTTAGTGATGCCTGCTCTAGAGAATTAATTTCAGGAATAGAAAATGAAAAACGCCTTTACCATTCAGAGAGACATGCGGCACTAACAAAGCCAAAAACGATAAAAAGTAGGAGGGATTTTACAGATAAGTAGTGGATTTTATGATACACCACAACTCCTGGGCCATAGTGTATAAGTGGACAGCTAGCCTACCTAGTGGCTGCAGTGATTTGATTAAAAGGAAGGTTACATAAGACATTAAAACTGCCTAAAAATAACATGTTCTCTTTATTTGAGTGGAACTACCTCTTTTAATGGCACATCCAACAAATGATACGGTGTCAAGTCTTTATGTTGTGTTTTCTGCAGACTGCCTCCTATTTTGGCCATTCAGTAGCAGTTACAGACATCAATGGAGATAGGTATGTCTTGAAACAAGAACTCATTTGTTGCAGAATATAATTTCACATGGATGTAGAGCCATCTAGTGTTATAATCTGATTTACCACAGATTCAGAATCAAGCAAACCTTTCTGTTCTATAATATATCATATATATAAAAACAGGCTATGAGTATTTGTGAGACGATAATGTGTTTTGAATTGTTTTATTGGATTATATAATTACTTAGTTAGACAGTCCTACTTAATTTCACATTTGTGAGAATAGGGATTTAGTCATGCCAATACTGAGCACCTTCTAACAGGGTGCCATGAGCAAACTCAAAGGCAATTGCTGATTACATCTGGGTAATGAACCATTGGTTGAGGATTAATTAGAGTATGACATTCAAATGGATGTCGAGCCAAGGTCTTGGCTTTGATATATCAATAATTGTTTTCATTTGGAATTGGTGTTGTTTTCAGCCAACAGGCAGGTGTAATGTTATTTGAATAGTAGGTGAGTAAGAGTTTGAACTTGAATGGTAGCGGAGTAAGAATATGTTGATATATCTGTCCAATCAGGATGATAGCTGTTCTACAAAAGCTCTTCGCTCTTGTTGACAACCATTCTATATGTTTACTTGCAGTATTGATGATCTGCTGGTGGGAGCTCCCCTTTTCATGGAGCGCCGGGCAGGTGGAAAGCTTCTGGAAGTTGGGCAAGTCTACGTATATCTGCAGAAGAGACCCAGGGCCCTGGACAGGAACCCTCAGATCCTCAGGGGGAATCATGTGTATGGACATTTTGGTGCATCTATTGCTCCTCTAGGAGACTTGGATCAAGATGGGTACAATGGTATCAGCCAACACTTATTTGTGTGTAATCTCAGAAAAAAATAACACACTTTCTTCCAAAAATAATTATAAAGCTAGGCCAGAAACAGACACACCCATTAAATCCAACCATAAGAAAATATAAATCTTTAGATAAAGATCAAAATCTTGTATCCTAACCCTAACCTTTAGCTGATCAAGAAGAAGTTAAAAAAAACTAGAAAGTTAGTGTTTAATTGACTGTCCTTGGTTTTCTTATATCTAAATCAGAGATTATCTCTGCTTCATTCTCCATAATAGTTTATAGTCAAATGAATATACAGAAGCAGAGTGAAGCCCCTTGTGATGGCTACAGTGGGTTGTTTGAGTTTGAAATCTCCATTCCATAGCTGCCTAGTGATATAAGAAGCTGACAGTTCAGTTTGGACAAAAAGGAGGAATAGTGCAGGGAGCCTAGGGTTATCCTATTGCTAAAGAAGATAAAGTGGTAGTTGCACAAAGTATCTGGATTCTGGGCTGGTAGCTTCTTTACGACCAAGGAATTTTTACTTTTTCTTTAGTGTGTAATTTGAGTCAATCTAAGACTGAAGCACCACCCTGGACGTTAAATGTGTAGATATTGAATTATTAAAAACTCAGAAAATGCCCCCTGCATCAGGGCTACAAAAGATACAACAATGGAACAAAATACATCTAAAACTTCTACATTATAGATGCAAAACATTGAGACATAATTTTATAATCGTTTCAAATTTATATAAAAATTATAAAAAGCCTATTTATATAAAAAGTAGAAAAAAATCTCTGTGGGTGGGGATGTTTATCAGGGGTTGAGCTTGGCCCCCTAGTTCCAGTGAAAGGAACTCTTAAGGCATCAGCATACCAAGATTTTGGACAATTTCATGCTCCCAACTTTGTGGGAAGAGTTTGGGGATGGCCCCTTCCTGTTCCAACATGACTGCGCAACAGTGCACAAAGCAAAGTCCATAAGGACATCGATGAGCCAGTTTGGGGTGGAGGAACTTGACTGGCCTGACCCCAACCCGATCTTCGAAATTAATATAGAGCACAGACTGTGAGCCAGGCCTTCTCGTCCGACATCAGTGCCTGACCTCACAAATGCTCTTCTAGAAGAATGGTCAAACCTTCCCATAGACACCCTCCTAAACCTTGTAGACAGCCTTCCCAGAAGAGTTGAAGCTGTTACAGCTGCAAAGGGTGGGACAGCCAGGGGCAGACTGACCATTTGGAAACTCTGGCACTGCCCCGAGGGCCCGGGGTCAGTAGGGGGCCCCATGAGATGCCCCTGGTACCTTTTTCATAGGCTTTTTTTGAGTTTGGGCAAGGACACAGGGGCCCCATGATCCCCTATTGCCCGGGGGCCCCATGAGTTGTCAGTCCGCCCAAGGCCAACTCAATATTTAACCCTACAGACTAAGACTGGGATACCATTAAAGTTCATGTGCTTGTAAAGGCAGGTGTCCCAACACTTTAGGCAATATAGTGTATGTATATATAATTTTTTCTTGTATCTTTTGTAGCTTTGATAAAGCAGGTGTTTTCTGAACCCCAAAATGCTTTTGCTGTATACTAGTCTATGATAAATCCATATCTGGAAACGTAACTTCTGTTATGGCAAATCCAATCTTAGAATACTCAGGTGGTTAAGTATGTCATTGTCATTTCCTGAAACCTGAACTATTACATTTGGGTCTGTCCTCTGCAATCTTTCTTTAGATGTGGCTGTAGGTTCTCCTTTTGGAGGTCAGTCTGGAGCTGGCTGTGTTTACATTTACAAGGGTGAGAAGTCTGGGTTGTCTACACATCCATCACAGATCTTAGAGAGTCCCCACGCGGCACCATCCAGATTTGGCTTTTCATTGAGAGGAGGGGAAGACATTGATCAGAATGGATATCCAGGTAATGAACAAAAAACAATTACAAAACTCCAAATGGAATTTTAGAGAGCCTACCAGCCTTTTTACCATTCAGTGTGATGCATCCAAGTGCTGTGCTTCCCCTTTCTCCATCACCGCTAAAAGCTGAACTCTTTGCCTTGCAGATCTGCTAGTCGGAGCTTTTGAAGCAGACAAAGTCTATATCTTCAGGTATGAGACTTTACATGGATCTCCTTGTAAAATATTACATAGGATTTTCATAGGATGTATTATGAACCATTTAGGGATTTTTTGCATACCTGGAAGTGGCACACACTCCCTTTCCATTTTTCAAGGTGAATATATCTTTTCCTAGCTATAGATAATCATGAGATCACAGAGATGGAAATAATTTCACCAATGCAAGTTTATTTCTTTAAAGCCTTGTTTGTATGCATAATTTTCGATTATATGTGTACATTGAGGTAGCCATATATTTTTTTTATTTTACTTTTATTTAAAATTTATAGTCAGATATGGGGGGGGGGGGGGGGGGGGGGAGCAGCCTTTTTTAAAGATCCTATATAGTGCTGTGCAAATGTACTTGTGAAAATGTTGTAAATGCGAGGATGCTTTAAAAAATATGCAAATATATATATATATACATATACACACTGTATATATTTTTAATCGATTAACCTGCAAAACAGGACAACCTAATTCAAAATAATATTTGATGTGTCTTCCTTTTGCCTTTACAACGTCATCAGTTCTACTATTTAGAGTTGCACACCGTTCTTTAAGGTATTTGACAGCAACAGAGACAGGCTACATCTACTGTTTTTGGACATAGCCTGTCTCTGTTGCTTCAGTCTCTTTATGTAATCTCAGGGAGACTCAATGGTATTGAGAATAGGGATGTGTGGGGACAGTACCATCTCTTTCACGGCTTCTTGCTCCTCTTTTCACTAAAGATAGTTCTCAATGCTTTTGGCTGTATGTTCTGAGTCATTGTCCTGCTGCAGAATAAATTTGGGACTGTTCAGACACCTCCCTTATAGTAGTATATGATGAATAAATATCTGCTGGTTCATTTCAGCATTGAGGAGACCATTAATGCTAGCCAAATCCCCAACTCCATGTGTAGAAATGCAACCTTAAACCTGCAAAAAACTTCCGCTGTGCTTCATGTTGCCTGCACACACCCATCCTTGTCCTACCTTACACAGGGCAAGATTTAGACTTTGGGGGGACCAGGGCACTTTAGATTCGGGGGGGTCCTCATACACAGTATTTGTGTTTGTATTATTATATATTTTATTATAATTCATTTTTTATTATTTTATATAATTATTTTATATTATTTTTTTATAGGGGGCCCTTCTGTCAGGCGGCCCAGGGTAGCTGCCCCTTTTGCCCCCTTATAAATCTGGCACTGAACGTACAGGCCTTTGGAAAACTGCCTTCTGGTAGACAAACATTTCAATTAGGACTCATCAGTCCAGATTACCTGCTGCTATTTTGCTGCATATCCGTGTCAAAGCCTGTCTTCATCCTGCTCCTTGGACAGAGGCATATGTTGGTCCCCTCTATAAGTCATGAGGCTTATACATTTAGAGTACACAAACCTGATGTAATCAGTTATATACACATACAGTATACGATATTCTATGTATACAGTATATTATATATATATATACAGTTGTGGCCAAAATTATTCAACCCCCACTGAAATTGAGTGTTTTGGCCAGTTTTGACATTGCTTTTGATCATTCAGTCATCTTGCTTACATTTACATTAAAGAGGCACTTGTAGGTCAGACAAATATAACATAACAGTTATAATGAAATAACCACAAATGTCTTTTCTGTGCTCACAGCATTATCAGTTTTATTCAACCCCCAAGTGACATTCAATCTTAGTACTTAGTACAGCATCCTTTTACAGTTATAACAGCTTTTAAACGTGAAGCATAGCTTGACACAAGTGTCTTGCAGCGATCTACGGGTATCTTCGCCCATTCTTCATGGGCAAAGGCCTCCAGTTCAGTCACATTCTTAGGCTTGCGCACTGCAACTGCTTTCTTTAAGTCCCACCAGAGGTTCTCAATCGGATTTAAGTCTGGTGACTGCGATGGCCACTCCAAAATGTTCCAGCCTTTCCTCTGCAACCATGCTCTAGTGGACTTGGAGGTATGCTTGGGATCATTGTCCTGTTGAAAGGTCCAACGTCTCCCAAGCCTCAGGTGTGTGACGGACTGCATCACGTTTCCATCCAATATCTCCTGGTACTGAAGAGAATTCATGGTACCTTGCACACGCTGAAGCTTCCCTGTACCTGCAGAAGCAAAACAGCCCCAAAGCATGATTGACCCTCCACCATGCTTCACAGTAGGCAAGGTGTTCTTTTCATCATAGGCCTTGTTCTTCCTCCTCCAAACATAGCGTTGATCCATGGGCCCAAACAGTTCTAATTTTGTTTCATCAGTCCACAGAACACTATCCCACAACTTTTGTGGTTTGTCCACATGGCTTTTGGCATACTGCAGTCGACTCTTCTTATTCTTTGGAGACAGCAAGGGGGTACGCCTGGGAGTTCTGGCACGGAGGCCTTCATTACGCAGTGTGCGTCTTATTGTCTGGGCTGAAACTTCTGTACCCACATCTGACAAATCTTTTCTCAGTTCCTCAGCAGTCACACGGGGACTTCTCTCCACTCTACGCTTCAGGTAGCGCACAGCAGTCGAAGTCAGCATCTTCTTTCTGCCACGACCAGGTAGCGTTTCAACAGTGCCCTTTGCCTTGAATTTGCGAATGATGCTTCCTAAGGTGTCTCTTGGTATGTTTAACATCTTTGCAATCTTCTTATAGCCATTGCCCTTCCTGTGAAGAGAAATCACCTCTTCTCTTGTCTTCCTGGACCATTCTCTTGCCTTCACCATGTTTTGTAACCACACCAGTAAATGTCTAGAAGGAGCTGAGTATCACAGTCATTTTAAAGCTGCCTAATTGGTGCTTATTATGCTTGATTGCTGCTCGGTGACATCCACAGGTGTTTTCAATACCTGATGAAAGCACCTGTATGAACCTCTGTTCTTCAGAGTGGTAGTCTTTAAGGGGTTGAATAATTGTGGCAATGAAGAAACCACATAAGAACCATTTACTACTGTATTACATAAACAATTGATGTCATTTTAGTTGCATTTGGGTAGTTACAACGTCCTTGTAGGATTTGATTCTGAATACAATTCCAAATGTACACTATAGTCCCTAAACCCCTTTACAGCATTGGGGGTTGAATAATTTTGGGCCACAATGTATATATAATAGTTTTAAAGATAACTTTATAGAAAGGTATGATTTTGGTACTATACTCTCTAGCTTTTGTCCTAATTTTTTGTATTCTTTATTCCAGGGCCCAGCCAGTAGTTCTTCTCCATACTTCCTTGGTAATTCACTCCAGATTCCTTGAACCCAGACCAGAAGAAGTGTAAACAGCCTGGTATTGGTGATGTCAGCTGGTGAGGCAGCGTGTTTATAGCAACTTAATTTTTCTAAAAAATGTTTTACTAGTTGGATTAGAAAAATATATAAATAAAATAAAATTGTGATCCAACCAGTTCAGAAAAGGTGGCAAGATCATGTATTTGGAAACCAGATTTGCTAATGCTGTGTATATAACAAAGCAGGACCTGGTTCTTGCTGAGACTGTGATCACTATAACCTCACTTTCAAACAATAAGTCAGTCACATGCTCTCCGGCAGAGAGGACTCACCTCATTTAATGAGTATGTTAGAATACATTATTGTAAGTCATATACCCACACGTTGGGAATATCTGAATCATCTTCTGGAGAAAATGATGGTTACAAGCAGGGGCGGACTGACCATTTGGAAACTCGGGCACTGCCCGAGGGCCCGGGGTCAGTAGGGGGCCCCATGAGATGCCCCTGGTACTTTTTTTCATAGGCTTTTTTGAGTTTGGGCAAGGACATAGGGGCCCCATGATCCCCTATCGCCAGGGGCCCCATGAGTTGTCAGTCCACCCCTGGTTACAAGAGAGGACATGATATATACAGTAAATGTGGAATTTAAAAAGATTGGATGTTTTTGGAAATTCTAAATGTCTGTGGCTATGTAACTATTAGATATAGGGGATCTTTCATCTTTAAAGTGGTAGTTTTTACCATATTAAATAAATGAAGCTGTAGGAGGTTATGAAATGAAATATACACATGGTAGTTTTGTTATTGCTATCAGCATCTGTAAAGCTGTCCCTGCTTGCTGCTTTCAAAATCTCCCCCATGTAACCTGTTATGGCATCATTACAGATTCTAAATCTATAACAAGGCCTTGATTGTGTTGAATGAGTTCTGTGATATATGGCATTACAGATGTGATATGTCTCAGTTCCATAGCATCCATGAAAGCCCTTAAGAAGCAGGGAGGGGTAGGCCTGAATGGCCATCATCTATGCTATACTGGGCTCAAGTTGTTTGCCCACCACTATACTTTGGGATGCAAGAAAAGTAATAACATGAAAGCCTGAACCCTGCAGGAACTAGCACCTTCACCTTTCCTTACTATGGGGTTCAAGAGGCATGGGTTGAATCCAGGGGCGGACTGACAACTCATGGGGCCCCTGGGCAATAGGGGATCATGGGGCCCCTGTGTCCTTGCCCAAACTCAAAAAAGCCTATGAAAAAGGAACTAGGGGCATTTCATGGGGCCCCTACTGACCCCGGGCCCTCAGGCAGTGCCCGAGTTTCCAAATGGTCAGTCCGCCCCTGGTTGAATCTATAAGTAAAGTGGGAGGGCCAGTTACTTCCCAGACCAGGGATCACTACTACATTAGTAACAATTGTAGATAATAACATTTCTGTGTGTTCATTAAAATGATTGAGATGTCTGCGATTTCTCTAGTTTCACTGTGAGTGTCTGTGTCCGGACCTCGGGGAAAAGTCTACCCAAGACATTGAGTGAGAATATTTTCCTTACCCATCTTCTACTGTATTTATATTCACATACTGTGAGTTGGTGTAGCAGGTAAATCATCCCCTTGCTGGCTTATTATGTGTAAAGCTGCCTATATACTTTACAACCTGATTGTACAATATATTTAGATGTAGCAAAGCTATATAGCATGAGGGCCTGCCTTAAAGTGATATGAAAGGCTATTTTTTTAAATTAAAATAAAAAAGATGTTATACTTACCTGCTCTGTGCAAAGATATTGCATAGAGCAGTCCCTTACCTCCTCTTTTTTCGTTCACCTGTGTCTTATGGGGTCACCTGTGTGGGCGTTTCCGCTCCAGGCTGTGTGTGTCCATAGACGCACACAACACCAGAAAGCCACACCCCTGCACCCTCCTGACAGGATTTTGACTGACAACAGTGGGAGCTTATGGCTTCCTCTGCTGCCTGTGTCTCCTGTTTAATCAGGAAGAGGAGGAGCAGTGCTGTAGCCAGGATGGTTTAGGTAGGCCCCTGCACTATATGTATGCATTATATGCATTTCTGGGCATCATGTCAGATACACTTTTCCAAAAAGTTTTTTTTATGAGGTAGGTCGCCACAGCCTAACGCTTTCCAGTTGCTCTGTCTTGGGACCAGCATGCAGAATGTGATAACACGTGGGCATAGTCAAACTGTAAACACTTGGGTTACACATTGTACATACTAGGGCCAATTTAGACAGAAGCCAGTCAACCTACTAGTATGTCTTTGGAGTGTGGGGGAAACCCATGCAAGTACAGCAGACTCCTGCTACAGAGCACTTGCACTATACATCTGTTGATAAATCTAAAAATTTACAGGGATTGTACAAAAAGATTGCAATGTATGGAAAGTAGAAACATAATTTGTGGGAAAGATTTTTTTGATGCTGGCCATAAACTATACAATGTGAGTTTGCAATTGTAACAATTTGGCGCAATAGAGACATGGAAGCTGTGTGCCACAGCCATCTTGTTAAGGTCTCAGCATTTTGTTTTTCATGAGCAATAATCTTCCTCCCCTCCTCCCTCCTCCTGAAAACTGGAATTTGTAGCTGTAAGTTGTAACGAACTTCAAAAGAGCCTCTTATCCTAATTAAAACACAAATAGATGCCAGCTCCAGGGCTGTAAAAAGCTAATTAGTCTTGGCAGGGTGTCTGTTTTCCACAAACCATGGAAAACACTTTCCTCTGCCCTATCGTAAAACAATAATAACTCAGTCAAGCAATCACACATGACCTGTGAGGCCATTAGAGCGCTAGGAATGTAGAGTGTGCCATAAAACGTCTATTCAACATGTAACAATTCCACATACAATTCATAGAATTTAACAAGAACAGGGCACATTAATATTAGGTATATATTAGAATAAGGAATATCATACCGAACAAATCAAGGTCATACATGACTATGTTAGCACATAGGAAAAGGGAGAACGCAGTCTCCTCCCTCCTGGGTGACCAAGGTACGCTGTGTTTGGTATCCCTGGGTTCGAAATACAAGTCTGAATATTAATCTACCAGTTATCAGAATACCACCTTTACGTATTGGAGGTTATTAATATTACTGTAAAACTGTAGTTGGGACTTGGTCATAAGTTTGGTGACCTCCCAACACCCATCCCTTAAATTGGATTATTGGTCAGTTGGTCTCTGTCCACACCCCCTTGATATCATAGAAAAGGACTGACAGGCCTAGTGAAGGAGAGCGCTAATTTAACATCAACCAAGGAACATCTTAACGGACTTGAGAGCCAAGGCAATGTTTTTGCTCGGACAATTGGACAATCAGGACTTGTATTATGCCTTCTTAGCTCCTTTCTTTTATTTCTCTGTTGCTTTATTGTTTTGATATCTTTGTAACATCCATTTCTGTAAATATTTAAATTGCACCATTTTGACCTTTTTATTGATAAAACCTAATTTGAAAAGTGTTCAAACTGTCTCTAAAGACAGTACTAAAGTAGTGCATACTAAAGAATCTCTGTCTCTTGAAGGCTACTGTATATAATAATTCTCTGACTATACCTGTCTGTGGTGACAGTGTGTGTTGCAGACGTCTATGCTAAAATCACAGTGTTATTACTAGGATTTGTGAGCTTCCTCCTTCTCTGTAAAAAGGCGGTGGTGGCAGTTTGAAGGGTTAATTGCGTAATTAACCTAACCCAGTGACAATCGCTCTCAGGGTGCTGGCACATAGATTGTGGTCCTACTAGCTGGAAAATCTTTATGCAGGGTGAAGCTGAGAGTGGCATTGTTACGCAAGTGACAGCGCGGTGTGAGATTGGCTGGTCCTTTGTCTTTGATGAGAAGGGCAGAGGTTGGTGTCAGGGCTCCCAGGTATGACCAGTGTGTGACTGAAGCAGGGAAACGCAGACCTCAGATATGTTATAAACAATATAATTTATTAACACTAACAGTACAAACATAAACGCAGTGCAATACTAAAACATAATACAGTGCAAACAAACCAAACCACCCACAGATAACAATACATACAAGCAAGCGTCGTCAGGCAGGCCGGGTCAATATCAATAAGGCAGGTAGGTACAGGGGGAGCAAGCGGAGATTGGTCAGGGTCACAAGCCAGGGATCAGAACAGGTAGCAAGCAGCGTGGTACAGAGGGTCAGACAGAGGGTTGGTCAGGAGCGAGCCGGGATCAGAGCAGGAGAAGTCAGCAGCGGTTCAGAAACAGGATGCAGGACAGAAACAGGATGCAGGGCCCAGGACAAACACAACACCAAGGCAGAGTTGTGGGTCTGGCCATCCCTTAAATACCCCAGCATCATCAGTTACAGGTGTTAGCTGGCTGCAAAGTTGAGTCTCTGATTGCAGGGAACACCCGCTGGCCAGCCCTGGTACTGCAGATCAAAAGGCAGGTGAGTCCCACCATTGCTGGCCAGTCCATTCCTAACAGTTGGGCACAGCGTTGCGTCACAGCAATCTGTAACATTAATCTGCCCTAAATTTTCACGTTCCCTTACTTTCTGCCCAGAGGCAATTCCACGTAGCAGCAAGTAAGCTTCAAGCAGGAGATTACAATTGACAAGGGTATAAATCTAATTCATGGCTAGGTTGATTGGGGACAATTGTGGGTAAACCTAGGTAAGTTTGTTAGTTTAATAAAGTTTGTTAGTTTAATACAGAGATGTACAGTAGGTGTCATTTTTACCGAGCTTAATACCCGTTACGGCTTTTGTGTCTCTTTATGAAGGCCTGTCCGCTGACATCCAGCTGGACAGCCAGAAGAGCAAATTTCTCCGCAGAACTCTTTTCACTGACTCTTCACAGCCCAGCAAAAGAATCACTATGGACATCCAGAGCAACTCACAGAGGACCTGCAACGATGTTAGTGCCTATCTGCGGGTATGTACTCTGCCTCTATAGGTGGACCTGTTGTTGAATTTCACATGACATCTCAATCAGCTCAGCTCTTGTTATCATTACCAAATCATGTTTTTTTTTTTTAAAGTAAAGAAGTACCATTTTCTTGGTCCCATTGGCTCTGGTTTACCATTTAGCGTTATGGTCAGAGCTATGTGATTTTCTCAGTGGTTGTAAAATTGTTCTCTTTTGTTGGCAAACCATTAGGCTATATATATATATACACATATACACAGTACATACATTGCTCCAAAAAATGTAAGGAACACTTTGAAAACTCATCAGATCTCAATGGGGAAAAATATCATGCTGGATATCTATACTGATATGGACTGGGTAATGTGTTAGGAATGATGCCCCATTATTTGATGGAAATTAAAATTATCAACCTACAGAGGACTGAATTCAAAGACACCCCGAAAATCAAAGTGAAAAAATGATGTAGCAGGCTAGTCCATTTTATTGAAATTTAATTACAGAAACTCAGAATGATATTCAGTAGTTTGTATGGCCCCCACGTGCTTGTATGCATGCCTGACAACATTGGGGCATGCTCTTAATGAGATGACGGATGGTGTCCTGGGGTATTTCCTCCCAGATCTGGACCAGGGCATTACTGAGCTCCTGGACAGTCTGAGGTGCAACCTGGCGGCATCGGATGGATCGAAACATGATATCCCAGAGGTGTTCTAATGGATTTAGGACAGGAGAGCACGGGGGCCATTCAATGGTATCAATTCCTTCATCCTCCAGGAACTGCCTGCATACTCTGCCACATGACGCCAGGCATTGTCGTGCACCAGGAGAAACCCAAGACCCACTGCACCAGCATAGAGTCTGACAATGGGTTCAAGGATTTCATCCCGATACCTAATGGCAGTCAGGGTGCCATTGTCTAACCTGTAGGTCTGTGTGTCTCTCCATGGGTATGCCTCCCCACGCCATCATTGACCCACCACCAAAACGGTGATGCTGAAAAATGTTAAAGGCAGCATAACATTCTCCACAGCTTCTCCAGACCCTTTCAAGTTAGTCACATGTGCTCAGGGGGAACCTGCTCTCATCTGTGAAAAGCACAGGGCACCAGCGGCGGACCTGCCAACTATGGTGTTCAGTGGCAAATGCCAATTGAGCTCGATGTGCTGGGCAGTGAACACAGGGCCCACTAGAGGACATCGGGCCCTCAGGCTACCCTCATGAGGTCTGTTTCTGATTTCTTGCTCAGAGACATTCGTACAGGTGGCCTGCTGGAGGTCATATTGTAGGGCTCTGGCAGTGCTCCTCCTGTTCCTCCTTGCACAAAGGAGCAGATACCGGTCCTGCTGATGGGTTAAGGACCTTCTACAGCCCTATCCAGCTCTCCTAGAGTAACTGTCTGTCTCTGGAATCTCCTCCATGCTCTTGAGACTGTGCTGGGAGACACAGCAAACCTTCTGGCAATGGCACGTATAGATGTGTCATCCCGGAGGAGTTGGACTGCCTGTGCAACCTCTGTAGGGTCCAGGTATCGCCTCCTGCTACCAGTAGTGACACTGACCCTAGCCAGATGCAAAACCAGTGAAAAGATGAGTAAGGAAAAAAAGGTCAGTGACCTCCACCTGTAAAACCATTCCTATTTTTGGGGTTGTCTGAAACTGACTAACAGCCCCCTCTGCTACTTAACTGACCAGATCAATATCCCACAAGTTTAATTGACTTGATGCTATACTCTGATTAAAAAGTGTTCCTTTAATTTTTTTGAGTATATGCATACACACACACACATATATATATGAGGGGCATTCACACATATACAAGGGGCATTCAAGTCAAACCAGGACTTTTGAGTTTATAGAATAAAAGAATACATTTCAAGGAATGGAAACTGCATTTATATTTTGGCATACTCCCCATCTACATTTATACACTTATTCTAGCATTTAACTAATGAAAGATAAAAAAATTTGTCAGTACTCCATAACCATTCTAGGACAGCTGGCTTCACTTCATCATGATTGTGTTCACTGTTCCCACAGAAAGATTCATCTCTTGTGCAATCTCATAACAGGTTTAAACATCAATTTTCCAGGAACAGGCGTCCCATGAGCTGAATGTTCACAGGGATGACTGCTGTGGGCTTGGAACCACCACGGACGGGATCTTCACTGATGGACAGACAGTCATTTCTGAAACGCTTACACTATTCAAATGTCTTACTGCGGCTGAGCGTCTCATTACCGTACTGTGCCTGAAACGCCCCTTGTGTGTGTGTGTGTGTGTGTATATATATATATATATATATATATATATATATATATATACACACACACACAAGGGGCGTTCAAGTCAAACCCAGACTTTTAATTTTACAGGTATGAAAAGGGCTGCTAGCATGGCAGTACTACATGACATAGAAAGTGGCAAGTGTGTCCCATTACTGATAGGAGGCGCACTTATCGTGGGCCAGTCCAGAGACCATTAATCAAGATGGCAGACAACAGTGTTAGGGTGTGCATGGAACAGCGTGTGGTGATGAAGTTTCTTGTGAACCAAGGCGTAAAACCTGCGGATATATATATATATATATATATATATAAACACAAGTTAAATAACCCAACAACAAGGAGATGTATTGGTGCTTAATTTGTATATGGCTTCCAGTGGGATTTCTACTCCACCAATTGCCTCTGCACAATGTGCAGATCCTACGTTGTATAACTAACTTGAGCCTATTAATTCTATCCTGTAATTTATTTCAGAGTGAAAATGAGTTTAAGGATAAGCTAAGCCCAATAGTTGTCAGTGTAAACTTCAGTCTGAATACTGCACCATCTTCTAGTGCCTTGCCACCTATAATACATGGGAACACCTTCCTACAAGAGCAGGTGAGCTATGGATAATGTAGCCTCAGAGCCAGGTACACTTATAAGTATTTGTGTCAGCTCCCATACTGCAATTAAATCAATTTTGTGAAAATTGTATTTCCTGGCCTTGTGTTCTAGATACATATCTTACTGGATTGTGGAGAAGACAATATCTGCATTCCTGACCTGCAGCTGAGAGCCAGCTGGTGAGTTCCCCTCCGACATATCATCAATCCTCACAGCCTTGAGTCCCCCTGTCTTAAATGAGACTTTTCAGTAACTTTACAGTTCTGCATGAATACATTCTTTGAATGTCATAATATACAGAAACAAAAACAGTTTCCAAAAGGATCTACCTTTATCATTAAAAATATGTCTTTGAGTTTCAGTCTAGTGACTTTGTCTAGGTTAAAATGATGTCATCAGTCTGCTGCAGTCGGAAGGGTGTATCTGATGCTGGCGATGGTCCATGTTAAGTAATATTTTAAACAACGATCATATCATTATAAGACAGCGGTTCTCAACCTGGGGGTCGCGACCCCTTTGGGGGTCGAACGACCATTTCCCAGGGGTCGCCTAAGACCATCGGAAAACACATATTTCCGATGGTCTTAGGAACCGAGACACCGCTCCTCTGACTCAGTCGATGTGTGGGCGGGATGACACGCTGCCCTGTCACCTGGCCACACCTCCGGGATCCCTCAACAACTCCGCCTCCTCGCCGCTGATTGGCCACCGGAACTGTAGCTCAGGAGAGGCACACAGGCGGCCAATCACCGGCGAGGAGGTGGAGCTTGGAGAGGAGGAGCCGAGCGGCAGCGCGCGTAGATCTAAGAAGATCGAGGGAACTGCCGGAGTAAGTGAAGAGGAGAGCGGCCAAAGAAGGAAGACAGCTGACAGGTAAGTGAGAGAGCGAGCCCAGGCTGGAGCAGGGGTCAGCAAGGTAAGTATCATTGGTGTCAGTGGGAGGAATAGTGCCCCATCATTTGTGTGACTAATACCAACAATGGGCACTATTTCTCCCACTGACACCAATGATGGGGCACTATTTCCTCCCCCCCCGCACTGACACCAATGATGGGGCACTATTCCTCCCCCCCCACTGACACCAACGATGGGGCACTATTCCTCCCCCCCACTGACACCAACGATGGGGCACTATTCCCCCCCCCCACTGACACCAACGATGGGGCACTATTCCTCCCCCCACTGACACCAAGAATGGGGCACTATTCCTCCCCCCACCGACACCAACAATGGGGCACTATTCCCCCCCCGACCCCAAAGATGGGGCACTATTTCCCCCTCCACCACACTGACATCAATGATGGGGCACTATTCCTCCCACTGACACCAATGATGGGGCACTATTCCTCCCACTGACACCAATGATGGGGCACTATTCCCCCCACTGACACCAATGATGGGGCACTATTCCCCCCACTGACACCAATGATGGGGCACTATTCCCCCCCACTGACACCAATGATGGGGCACTATTCCCCCCACTGACTCCAATGATGGGGCACTATTCCCCCCACTGACACCAATGATGGGGCACTATTCCCCCCACTGACACCAATGATGGGGCACTATTCCCCCACTGACACCAATGATGGGGCACTATTCCCCCCACTGACACCAATGATGGGGCACTATTCCCCCCACTGACACCAATGATGGGGCACTATTCCCCCCACTGACACCAATGATGGGGCACTATTCCCCCCACTGACACCAATGATGGGGCACTATTCCCCCCACTGACACCAATGATGGGGCACTATTCCCCCCACTGACACCAATGATGGGGCACTATTCCCCCCACTGACACCAATGATGGGGCACTATTCCCCCCACTGACACCAATGATGGGGCACTATTCCCCCCACTGACACCAATGATGGGGCACTATTCCTCCCACTGACACCAATGATGGGGCACTATTCCTCCCACTGACACCAATGATGGGGCACTATTCCTCCCACTGACACCAATGATGGGGCACTATTCCTCCCCACTGACTGACACCAATGATGGGGATGGGGCACTATTCCCCCCACTGACACCAATGATGGGGCACTATTATTGACACCAATGATGGGGCACTATTCCCCCCACTGACACCAACGATGGGGCACTATTCCCCCCACTGACACCAACGATGGGGCACTATTCCCCCCCCACTGACACCAACGATGGGGCACTATTCCCCCCACTGACACCAACGATGGGGCACTATTCCCCCCACTGACACCAACGATGGGGCACTATTCCCCCCAATGACACCAACGATGGGGCACTATTCCCCCCACTGACACCAACGATGGGGCACTATTCCCCCCACTGACACCAACGATGGGGCACTATTCCCCCCACTGACACCAACGATGGGGCACTATTCCCCCCACTGACACCAACGATGGGGCACTATTCCCCCCACTGACACCAACGATGGGGCACACTGACACCAGCGATGGGGCACTATTCCCCCCACTGACACCAACGATGGGGCACTATTCCCCCCACTGACACCAACGATGGGGCACTATTCCCCCCACTGACACCAACGATGGGGCACTATTCCCCCCACTGACACCAACGATGGGGCACTATTCCCCCCACTGACACCAACGATGGGGCACTATTCCTCCCACTGACACCAACGATGGGGCACTATTCCTCCCACTGACACCAACGATGGGGCACTATTCCTCCCACTGACACCAACGATGGGGCACTATTCCTCCCACTGACACCAACGATGGGGCACTATTCATCCCACTGACATCAGTGATGGGGCACTACTCCTTCCACTGACACCAATGATGTGGCACTAGTCCTCCCACTGCAAAATTACAGTTATGAAGTAGCAACGAAAATAATTTTATGGTTGGGGGTCACCACAACATGAGGAACTGTATTAAGGGGTCGCGGCATTAGAAAGGTTGAGAACCACTGTTATAAGACATTACTGATTTATGTTTGGTACAGAATTTGGGGGGGAATATGTATTCTCACACAATGTATTATCAGAATATTATATCACCCAGTCAATTAACCGTTGAGGCATTGGATCTATTGCTGTTAGATTATACATGTAGCTGAGTGCTTAGCTGGAAGGGTAAAAGCCACTGCAGAACTACAGTTGCTACATGTGCTGGTCTTGCCAGTGCTGTTTTGCTTCCATCCAGTAGAGGAAGTCTGCAGGACACAACGCAACATAGAGACTTGGATATAACAGTGATGAATTATGGGAAACTGGGATCACTGGAGGGACTTGGCTATTGTAGCAGATGGGGGAAGGTTTTCAATTCCCAGGCAGAAACCAGAGTTAGTTTTTCCCAGGCAGAATAAAGAAGGAATAGCTCTTTCTGGGGGAGGACCAAGGCAGAATTTACCTCAGCTGAGCCGTGTTTAGTAAAGCAGAGGCCCATCAACCTTGGGCCTGAAACTGAAACCTAGTCTGTTGAGAGCCAATTACACAGACACACACTGATGATATTACCATAGGAGTCCCAGTTTGCTAAGCTTCTGGACTGGAGTTTGCTGTGCACACAGGACTGGTGAACGGCCGCAGTTTGGCTTTACATTACCTATGCCTTCAGAGTGAGACCAGCTGTCATATAGGAACACTGTACCACTGTATTCTGAATTCTTAATGAGGAAGTATTTTAAGTGCACCAACACAAAGTTTGGCCCCACCAAATAGCTGGCAGAAGGTTGAAAAAAAAGGAGTCTACTAACTACTGACTGTTGTCACGGTGATCACCCATAGGTATTTCCCTAGCTAAGGACACCCTTTACAGGTTAAATGCAAAAAGTGCACCTTTGGAACATTTACAGAGCCAAACAGGTCAACTGTTTAGCCATTGCTCTATCATCATTTGCTGCTGATATTTCTATTTGATGTATTCCTGTGCATAACTGCCAATTGTGAATTACTATCACCTAATGCTGTCTAACATTTAATGAACTTAGAGCAATAATAGTATCCCACTGATTGATTCATTATTGCACAGTTTCTTACATCAAGTGGCCCCTTTGGGAGTAAGCGCTGCATATATGTGGAAATTCTCTAGATATTTGGTAATATTGCACCCAAACTACTCTTCTATTTGTTTGCCTTCTTTTTTAGGGGTGAAGATCCACTTGTTATTGGCGCTGACAATCTTGTAAAAATATACTTTGATGCAGAAAACCTCGGAGAAGGGGCTTACGAATCAGAATTACACGCCACACTTCCCACTGGGGCTCACTACATGCAGGTTTTGGGAGACACTGAAGTGAGTATACTTATGGGCCTTATCACTAAAGAAACCTGGGACAAATCCTTGATGGTGATATTGGTTTATCTCACAAAACGTCCAACTCCAGGAGAGTTGAACATGATGAAAATAACACCAGCGGACCTTACTCTGTAACTCAACAGTTCTTTCCCTGACCTCTCTCATTACTCCCTTACCTGTTGGCTATTTGGGTGGTGTTATGCCTTCTTCTTTAACATTACTTCCATATATGATGATAGGATGATGATGACAACAAATTTCTGTCTCCGTAAATATTTTATGTTGCTATGGATTTCTAGGAGAAGATTCTGTGCACTCCAAGAAAAGCAAATGACACAGAACTTGTGGTGTGTGAATTGGGTAACCCCATGAAGAACGGAGCAAAGGTGAGATATACATGGGTGAGGATGGAAAAAAGAAAAGTACACTGAGAAAATAAAATTAGGTAAGGTTACCGAGTCAAATTCAGTAAGAAATAAAGAAAATGGTTTGGATCTGACCCAAAAATGCTAATCTGCTTGGAACTACAGAGTAGAGCAGTGGTGGTTGTAGGGGGCCTTAACTGCAGCCCTTAGCACAACCAAATGGCCACACATAATATTCAGTATATGTAATGCTACAGAAGACTAATAGAGACTGAAGACATACTACAGGAAATGCTCAATGTCCGTAGACAGGGGAGGTTGAAGACAGGTAACACAAGACTGCCAGAGATCACTCCCACTACAACCTCTTTAAAATTCAATGCTCTCACTCCTACTAAGGACTGCTGAGCTCTAGGGGCCGCACAACAAGTACAATAGTGCCTCACATGGCCAAGGGGCTGCAGGCTGGGCCCTATAGGAGTAGAGGCTCTGAAGAACCAGAAGATGTGATACTTCAAGGAACCATTTTTGAGACTCCAAAAAATATTATTTGGAACTCGAAAATGTGTCCTTATGTTGAGTTTAACTTATGAGACTATGAATTTTGATTTGAGTTCCCAACTAGACAAGTAACCAAATAACCAAAGCAACCAAACGCTTTACTGTATAGAGGTGAGCACTGAAGTTCTTTGATATGTTGGCCTTCTATAGACCGAATTAGCTTTTGTTTTGCGTTATCCAACACATTCTTTCTCTGCCTCGGCCAAGTTAAAGCATTAAAGCAATTTGGACCTGTGTGGACATGGCATTACATTTTGGCTGCAGTTTGCGAGCTTCCTTAACCATATACTGCTTGTCCTCTTCTTTTCCATGTATAGATCCATGCAGGGCTTCTGCTGAGTATCAGTGACCTGGAAGACAGTGAAGGCAATTTCTCCTTCCCAATGCAGATCAAAAGGTGAGACCTCCAATCTGTCAGATGGCCTTTGATATTCATATTGTGATTTTTAATGATGTACTCTACATGATCAAAATTATTTGTCTGATGTAATGTAATGCACATCAACGTATGAAATAACACATTAATGAGTGTGCAGTAAAACACAATGAAAGGCTTTAAAGAGGCCCCTAAATTTAGGGCTGTAAATTAACAAGCATAGAACTGTTTTAACTTAGTACTGTACATGAGTTAGTGGTTGCATGGTTTTCATGTGATGGTTAAATGCTTTTCTTGTTTGTTTCAGCCGAAATAGTCAGAATTCAAGCAGTCTGGTTGTATGGGTGCATTTGAAAGTGACAGTTAAAATATCACTAGACCTTCTGGGGTAAGTGCAATAAGATGTTACTGCTGAACTACATTACTGTTGAGGTTGTATTATTGCAACAATACATGGCTAATGTACAGGTTGCCTTTAGATCACAAGTGGGAAAGGACCACTTTGGCACTTTTACCTTCTTCACAGTTTCTTGATCTAAAATTGTATGCATTTATTGCATGCATTTAGAGGAATATTGATGAATAATTTTAAGTGGTTGTAAACTTCAGACAAGAAATATGAACAAAGCATATCCCTCTATAGTGTTTCAATTAAGAGCTCTAAGTGTCATTTCTGTCTGCTGCTTATTTCCTCTGTTAACAGAATGAATCCTTTCTGGCAAGTTTTCCTGACACCAAGAGAAAAATGTTCACAGGGGACAGAGTTCCAGCTGATTGACGGCCTCAGCTCTGCTCTTGTGCTCTGTGTGGAGGGTGGTGTGTCTCTTCCATCCAATCAGCTCTCAGAGCTCTCCTCACTGAGCTCTGCAGTGTGTAATTTCAGCTCCCTGTCCCATTTTTTTTTAACTGTCAGACAAGCGTTATAAATTCAGCACTTTGAATAAATGTAGGGGACAGACAAACAGGTACAACTTATGTAGGAGGATTTGTGTCACATCTGTGTATGACCTGAGGCCAGTCACTTCACTGGATATATATAAGGGATTACAACCACTTTATTACTCCATCATTCCCCAGGAATTCGCACCCATCTGATGTTGTACTCCCCTTATCCAACTGGAAGCCTAAAGAAGAATCTAATAAGCCACTGGACAAAGGGGAAATAGCGACACATGTTTATGAGGTAATCATTTAAAGGGTTTTTTTGATATTTTACGACCCATACATTCCAATTGTCCCTCATTCAGAGGGACTGTTTTTCTGGGTATGACAGTGTCAAATCAAAGTGAAGCATCAAAATGACAAAGCAATCCCAATAATAACGCCATTTTATTTTTATCAATAGCTGCACAATGCTGGTCCAGGCACTGTCCACGTCAAGTTGGTCATTGAGAGTCCTGAACACTATGAAGGAGACATTTTCCTGTATCCACTGCGTCTGAAGCCTGATGAACAACTGAACTGTACCTTTGCTGATCTCAACATTCTACAGGTCAGGAAAGTAATGTTCACAATCCTAAGGCCCCTTTCACATGGGAGTTCCATTTATATTCATCAGTTCAGTTATAATTTGTTTTTAAGAAAAAAACTCAGTTTACATCCGTTTTTATCAGTTTACATCCATTTTTCATCAGTTCACATCAGTTTTTCTTCAGTTTACAGCAGTTTACATCCGTTTTTCATCTGTTTTTTTCATTCGTTTTTCATGCATTTTTCATCCATTTACATCTGCTTTTCATCCAGTTGCATCCATCTTTCGTCCATTTCTGTTTTTTTTTTACGGAATTAAAATAGGGGTTTCTTGTGTTCACAAAAAAATTTATGTTAACAGATGTTTGTTTACATCCACTAGTCCATAGAAATACATGGGTATCCATTTTTGATCTCTGTAAACGGACAGATGAAAAATGGACATACGGAACGCCTGTGTGAAAGGGGCCTAAGACTAAAGAGTGGTGTTATCAACTTTATAGCTTTGGTTAAAACGTGGATTTTAGGTGTTTAATCACCTAGAGAAAGAGATACAAAAATAAAAATAAGGTAGTAAAAGTCTTGCATGACTAGGACAGAATGTTGTCACCCACTAGCAGGAAGTGCTTGAACAAGCACCTTCATGGCTGGATCACCAGCGAATATTTTAAGGTGAGGTAAAGATTTTATGGGATTTTAACCACTTAAATAAGATAACATTGAGCTGCTTCTACAGACAAAGTGCAAAACTCCTGTAGAAGCAGCGATTTTTAAACCAGTGTGCATGGAACTCAGGGGCGGACTGACAACTCATGGGGCCCCCAGGCAATAGGGGATCATGGGGCCCCTGTGTCCTTGCCCAAACTCAAAAAAGCCTATGATAAAGGTACCAGGGGCATCTCATGGGGCCCCCTACTGACCCCGGGCCCTCGGGCAGTGCCCGAGCAGGGGCGGACTGACCATTTGAAACTCGGGCATTGCCTGAGGGCCCAGGGTCAGTAGGTGGCCCCATGAGAGATGCCCCTGGTACCTTTTTCATAAGCTTTTTTGAGTGTGGGCAAGGACACAGGGGCCCCATGATCCCCTATTGCCCGGGGGCCCCATGAGTTGTCAGTCCGCCCCTGTGCCCGAGTTTCCAAATGGTCAGTCCGCCCCTGATGGAACCTAAAAATAACGGCTATTTCTCTTTGCTCTAGACAGGTTGGAAGCAAACAAACAACTAAGTGAACCCCTTGGGGCAAAGCACATTCTTAAATATTTAACATTTTGTGCTATAGTGATTGTTTTGATAATGTTACCATTCTGAAAGTAGTTCGCTGCCATTGGCTAAATCTTAATTTTTTTTGCTTCTCAGCTGGACGTTGTAGAACCAACTAAAACACCTTCAAACTTCAGCAAAGGAGGTGATCATAGCCTGAAGAAGAGAGAGGTGTCAGGCATGGATCAAGATGGTGGGAATACAGGGACCGACAACAGTACAAGCAATAAAGATGGACCCCAGCAAAAACAGCCTACTACACTGGTAACAATCACTACTATATCATCTCCACTGTGTGGTTTGGTAGGACAGCAAACCGTATGGAATCAGAAAGAAACAATATGTGTCAATGTAATTGTAACCTGCTAATTTTATGCATCGATCTGCTGCAGATGTAGTTGATGCTTACACGTCCTTCCAGTCATCAGTCAGACATGACTGGACATGACTGGACTTAGGAGTCTATGCATAAAAAAAAACTGCTGTGTGAATATGTCAATTATTCGGACAGATGCAAAGGATATTCACCATAATTTGTCAAATATGTTTATTTCCTAGAATTCTCAGCACCATCTACTGGTAATAATGTGGTATTGTTCCTGAAATATCTAAATCAGAAAAAAAAAAACAGCATTATTGCTACTAGATGGCACTAATGATCCTAGGAAATAAATGTATGAAGCAAATTATAGTAAAAATGAATTGTGCCCGTGTGAAAGACTGACACAAGTGTTTTTTTTTTTTTTTTTAGACCCCAAAGTGAATTTCCACTTTTGCAGCCAAATTTGGATAACATCTGCTTTATATTTGTTAAAGTCCCTTAGGGAGACTTAAAACAGTCAGATGACCAGCTCGAGTCTAACCACGAGTTTTAATCGTTACGTTGATCGCGTTTAGTATGTTTTGAATGTTTTTAAATGTCTTTTACCAGCTACCTCCTGATGTTTCATTCTATTGTTGCTTGTGCAAGCACTGTAAAGCCGGTTTTAATTCACACCTTTTGTCCTTCCTCCTTCCCCGGGACTGCCCAGTGCCCAAGTGGGATTGTGGTTTTGAACCTCTGTCCCAGGGTATGATATTGCTTCCTATGGGGCTCTCATTGTCAAGTCAGCTCCAAGGAAGAAGGGACTCCCTTCGAAACGCGTAAGCCTGACTCTGAGAATCTTCCCTCGTGGTTAGACTCGCACTTAGGTCTCTGACTGTTTAAGTCTCGCTAAGGACTTTAATACGCTTGTTTTATGTTTTTTCCTGTTTGTGACTATATCTTTTCAAATTGAATATACCGTATTTGCCGGCGTATTAAGACGATTTTTTGCCCTGAAAAAAAACATGCCTCCAAGTGGGGGGGGTCGTCTTATTACGCCGGGTGCACTTCAGTTGGGATAGATATAGCTGCCATAGTCCTCCCGATGCCCGATAACATCCGCCCAAACCTCATTCTACATACCATCCAGTCCTGAACCGCAGCGGGTCATCAGCGTGGCTGCGGCGAGCATCAGCAGCGATACAGGGGATGCCAGCCTTTTCTGCTCGGCTCTAAACAAGGCGGGATGCCCGGCCAATACTGTAAAGCGAAACAAAAAAAGCAGCGGCGCTCTATGCAGAGCTCGCACATGCGCACTAGTGCCAATTACAGGGAGATGCAGGGACTGGCCGGAGGCGCTGCGGTCGCAGTACAATGTGATTTTATTGTGACAATGACAGGTACTGTAGTGGCACTAATACTAATGGCACTCATGTGAAACACGGTAACAATAAATGCACACAGGGGTATACTGCGAATATAAATTAAGATGTCTTTGAAATCAAATCTGATGTTCTTTGCAAGCATGTTTTAATTTTGTCCTTGTGTGGAAGGTGTGCCAACCCAAGGGGGTAGTCTATCCCGGCGAGTATATGAAACAAACTCTATATGGAAATGTTGGAAATGAGTGGAAATGTTCGTGGGGTCGTCTTATACGTCCCAGTCGTCTTATATGCCGGCAAATACGGTAATCACATTTTACTGAGGTAATGCGCAAGGTTGGTGCGCTTTCTATTTGTTTCGCTGAACCTGAAGTAAACCTGACCTGAACCACTGAACAACTACTGTATCAATTAGCTGTGAAAGCTGAGCTTCAATCCGTACCACACATGTGGGAATCAGCTCTTACCAGGATCATGGTCCTGATATAACCACTTGCTGTCTAGGACGTTTATATATGTACACTAAACGGCAAGTGGTTACATTTTTCTTTTTTTTTTCATGTACTATACATACAGGATGAATATATTTTTGTTACAGAGCTGCAGTGACTCAGGTTGCTGGAAGGCCGAGTGTCTCATAGAGAATCTGGGTAAGGGAAAGAGGGTGACGGTAACACTTGAGTCCATCCTATGGATTTCCAGCTTCATGAAGGTAAGGTAAACATTTGGCATAATGGTGATTGCCAACCAGGGGCTGCCTAAAGCAGACCTAATGTTTCTCCGATGCTTCTAAGTAAAATATATTTGTTACCTCCCTGGAGGTATTCCCTAGTGTAGCTCGGGGTAAAGTTTCAGTACCAAAAGCGGTAACCCCGAGCTACACTCGAGCTTACCATGTGGAGCTGCTTTGGGATCTGTTCTTTTCTTACCTTGTCCTGTGCTCCCGCGATGTCCCTCCTGCAGTGTCCCCGGCAATGTCCTCCGTGGATGCAGGCATCTGTCTTCTGGGTTCCGTCCCCTGAGAGCGCTGAGATGTACGGGGGATGGAACTGGCGGGAAATTTGAAAATGACAAAAAGTGACATTCACTAAATACACTAAAATCACATAGTAAAACATTGCTGTATCAAACCATTTCACATACATTTTGTCCCGAGTGCTTTGTCCGGCGCCCTGCCTGCATTTTTACTGTTCTTTCTGCCTGGAAACTGAGAAATGTCCATGGCGTCCAAAAAGCGTCCCTTTAGGTCAAAATCAGTTTTAGACCAGCTAGAGAACAGCGATAGTAAATTAGAACCACTTGCAGAATTGAGCGATAATGATCGTGGGGAAATTCGTCATCAAACACTGAAAATGATTTTGCGACTTTGCTCAGTGATGTGCGAACTTGGCGCTATATTTCAAATTTCAGTGTTTTTGGTTTTATTATATTATTGAATTAAATTTTTTATTATTATTATATATTATATTTTTTATGATTATTTATTAAATTATAATTTATGATTTCGTGTTCCAATTTTATCCTACCCGGGATGTTTACTAGATTCTTGTTCGGACAGATTTCCATGCAAAAAAATGTACCGCTTTGAGCACAGAAATATGGACATAATCAGACCGCTAGGGAGGTTAAGGAAATTTGTACTAAGAAAAACACAGCATCTGCCACTGCTGATCTCTGCCAGTCGCCTGTTTGTCAAATTAATCCTCTCTGATATCTGCTGAGGCACTGCTGAGGAACAGCATGCAGGTCAAGAGATCAGGATCAGTGGCAAAGCTGGCATACTAGGTTCAGATTTATACTTAGTAAATTGTGACCCACTGAGGGAGCTGGGAACCATGTGGAAAGCCTTAAAATGAACCTGTGCTTTGTCCATGCGAGGTAGAAAAGCATTCTGGGCTCTGTTACTGCTGGACCCTGTAGCGACCATGTGAGCTCAGCTTTGGTGGTGTGTAAGAGGCTCCATTTGTTAAGTAGAGGTCTAAATAGATTGTAATATTTTGATTATTTACTGAATGTTAATTAATTGGATTTGGCTTCAGATTTTTTTTAAAATTAAATATTACTTTTGAAATGACACTAACATATTGAAGCTAATATGTGAATTTTGGTGATTACATTTACTTATAATTTAAGTTTTCTCCTAATTTTTTTTTCTCCAACAGAGACCCCAGCAGACCTTCAAACTGACTTCCCGAGGTTACTTCCAGGTGACCGGTGTCCCCTACAGGATAAAACCAGTCGCTGTTAAGGACACAGAAAAGCAAGTACGTTCTCTGGGACCTCTAGCAGTGAGAACTTTTGGAGGTCCATTAAACACAATTGTCAATAAATTGTTTGCCAACTAAGGACCTGTCCACCTATACACCGAATGTGCAGCCCCTTGAGAAAAGACACTCTGAATTATATTGTAAGCGTTCAGCAAACTGTTGGCGCTATATAAATCCTGTATAATAATAATAATAATAATAAATTTACAAGTCATGAATGAATTCTCTTGTGCTGTAAAATTAAGCTACAAGAGCTCTCATGTTGAATGATGAGCAACAATGAAAGAACGTCTTATTGTCATAACTAACCCACTATTTAATATTTTACCAAACTTTATCAGTGTTTGCTTTTTGGTACATACTGTACCAGGGGCGGACTGATAACTCATGGGGCCCCTGGGCAATAGGGGATCATGGGGCCCCTCTGTCCTCGCCCACACTCAAACCACACCCAAAAAAGCCTATGAAAGGTACCAGGGGCATCTCATGGGGCCCCCTACTGACCTCGGGCCCTCGGGCAGTGCCTGAGTGCCCAAATGGTCAGTCCGCCCCTGTACTGTACTTGTTCTTGATGACCTACATAGTTTTTCTGTGTTAGAAAATACCTACAATCAATAATGAGCTGCTTGTTAACCCCTAATCTTGGTTATATCCTAGTCCATACATCCATTCAAACATTTATTATGACAATTCTGCAGTAGTAGCAGGTGTGGTGGGCAAATGCCAGTTAGTGCAAATTGAAATTTTAGGTTTATAATGCACACTTGCTCTGTATTTAAAGCTGAACTGAAGTTCCGCTGTAAGAAAAAGTGAGCAGGCAGGCTTTTATTGTAGGAGAGACAAGCACTGTCTCTTCTGCAATAAAATGTCCCTACCTGCCTGCTCGCTGTATTCTCCGGTGCTGTACACTGAGCTGCACATGCACAGCTCAGCTTACAGCACCAGGTCGGACTGTGAGTGCCAGGATGAGAACAGCCAATGAAGAGACACAAAGACCACCACTCAGAACAAGATGCCGTTGCTAGGACAGGACCAGGACAGAACCATAAGGTGAGTATTAATGTGGTTGTAAACCTCAGACATGAATTAATAACAAAGCACCTCACTCTATAGTTTGTATTGAATCCCTTCTGATGAGGTTTCCTGATGCCAAGAGAAAAATAGTGACAGGGAGGGTACAACTTGTGATTGACAGCCTCAGCTCTGTTCCTGTGTGAAGCTCTCAGAGCTCTCCTCGCTGATGTAACTTCACTCCCTGCTTTTCAGAGCTGAGACATCCTGTGTAGATTCTGCACTTTGAATGGATGTAGGGGGAAACAGATACCTTTAGATACACAGGTACAACTTATGTAGGGTGAATTGTTTCATCTCTATGTATCACCTGAGATGGTCACTTTGCTGGGTATATGTAATGGTAGACAACCACTTGAAGCCTTTACGTCTGCTTTATTAAACAGTGAATAATTGTGATGAAGAACAAGAGGGAGTAAATAACATAAATTCACTTTTACAAAGAGTTTTTCTATTCTTTATATTTTGGCATATAGAAAAGGCATTTAGAAAGTACAGTAAATACAATAATTAAAGAATAATTCCAGGTATTGGTATGTTATACATAGTTACATTGGTGCAGCTTGGACCACTGTACCGATGTACAGTATATGAATTACCTGGCCAATGCCGCTGGAAGTTGGAAATAACTGAAGTAGACACCGCCACTCCAATAATCTCCACTTAATTCTGGGAATGATTTGCATTTTTGAATGAATGCAAAGCATTCTCTGATTGGAAAATGTGGAGAGGCACGGCGGTGATGTCACAATCTCACCTCATCCAATCATGGAATACTTTGCATCCTTTCAGGAAATGCAAATCATTCTCTAAATGGTCGACTGACCACCTGTATTCACAATGCATCAGGCCAGCTGCTCAATACGGGACTTAGGGCTCGTTCACACTAGGCTGTTTTGCCAACGCTTGCCAAACGCCCCTATAGCGTTTGGCAAGCGTTGGTCCGGCGTGGCGCGGAGCGTTTTTTTTCCGCAAACGCCGCGGCGTTTGCGGTTGCAGCACGAGCGTTAATACAAACGAGCAGTTTGAGTAGGTTAGGCTTCAAACGCCCCGCAACCGCGTCGCAACCGCACCGCAAACGCCGGCCGGGCGTTTCATAGACGCTTTTGACTCGTCCGAGGCGTCCAACGCGACGCGACGCGATGCAAACACTCCTGTTAGAACAGCACCATGTGCTGTAATGTGCAGAATTGGCAGAGGCGTTTGGGAAGCGGTAAAAACGCTTCCCAAACGCCTCTCTGCCGCCTGCACACAAGGCTAGTGTGAACGTAGCCTTAGAAGCAAGTGGCATTTACTGGAGTAGCGATGTATGCTTCAGTGATTTCCAGCTTCCAGCAGCATCAGCCAGGTATGTCATATATATAATTACATTGGTCCATGATGGAACAATAACAATGCATAAAATGCAGATGCCTGCAATTATTATTAAAACATCACAGGGGTACAAAGAGACAGTACTGGGATTGTTGAGCATCAATTTTTAAAAGAAAAAAAAAAAAAGGGGAGGAGGATTAAATTTCACAGAAAATATGGGTTTGTGAAAAGTATTGGCTGGTCAGTTAACCCTTTGAGGACCGTAAGATTTTGGAACGCCAAAAGAATCAATTTTTTTGTTTTTAAAGTTCGTACACTTCAGTTGCTGTAACTAAGCCATTTCATGAAATAATTGGCAAAAAGCTAGATCCATTTGTTGTTTGTTGATATGAACTAATATTTTGACTCAAACCAAAAAAAAAAAAAAGAGTTTTAAGTTCCTAATCAGATGATACAGGCAATTAAAAACATGGGACAAATACGTCCCTTGGTCCTCAAAGGGTTTTTAAGAGGACAACTGGCAATGGTGGTTTAGGTTAAAGTGGTACAATATGCTGGGATCATATGTGTTGAAGGTCATAGTGATGGAGGATGATCACTATGTTGCAGGATTGTACATCATATGGCATTTATCCCTATTGTTAGAAGCAAGAGAAAGGAGAATAGGAAAACACATAGATCAAGAAGAATCCAGCCGAAGGATGGAGAAAAGGAGTAGTGGAAAAGAAGAGTAAAAGAATAAGGGAGAGATAGAAAGGAAAATAATTATGTTAGATGGAGGGAAAAAAGAATTACGAGTGGGGAGCAGGGAGATCAGTGGGGTCCAGCAAGGCATATTGCAGCCTTTGTTTTGTGGGGGGTGGGACCGTTTCAGAGCAAGCGAAGGGAATGATCTAGGCTCATATGTTTTTGAGAAATTTAGGATAGATATCATTAGGAATCGCAGTAAATTTCCCATCTACCATAGTGCCTGTTTCACCTCCACCTCCCAAAGTGAAGAATCAGTTGCTTCCAAGCTTCGGCCAGTGTTCACCTAGCAACAAAAACCATAAAATTCGCTAGTTTCCTTTCTCATCTGGGGATGTCAGAGGTTGGCTTAAGTAACAAAGTTTTCCAGGGATTGCGCATCTGTAGTTCAGAAGGCAGGCTCTGTGAAATGTGGGACACAGCAGTGTCTACTCACATAGATAATTCAAGGAAGTAAATGCACAAAGTTTGCCAACTTCAAGATTGTTCAAATTAACAGGGGAGAGGCTAGGGGTCATTGAAATACAATGTGGAAATTAATAGAATGATTTGAAAATGTGTCCCTATATACAATATAAGAAATGATTTCTTACTGTATTTTTCCTCTCTGCTATCTCTTCCTCTTACCCCAGGCTGTCACAGTGGTTCAGTGGGTAACTCCGGATGGACAAAAAGAGATTCCTATGTGGTGGATAATCCTAGGAGTTCTTGGGGGGCTGCTTATCTTGGCATTGTTTGTATTTGTCATGTGGAAGGTGAGCTGCAAAATGGCCGCCATCATGTCAACTGGTTTCCCATAAAAGTCGATCTAAGAAAGATTTTATTTAATCTAAATAGATATTGTTTTATCATTTTATTTTTTAGCTGGGATTCTTCAGAAGGACACGACCCCCATCAGATGATCAAGAAGATTTAGCTGAAGACAGATAATAGACTACTCACATTTTGCCTACGCTTTTTTTTTTTTTTAATAAAATTTAACACAAATGCGTTACAGTTTTGTACATTATTGTAAACATTTGCCAACTTCCTATTAAAACACTGAGTAAGTATTAGCCTTTGTGGCGTTTTTTATGTACGTACTTGTAGATTTTCTATACTTAAAGTAGAACTAAATTTCTTGATTTAACTGTTTCCCAAAATTTTTACTTTCAAAACATGATATCTGTCACAGTTGCTTGTGCTCCTAACCAAACTGTTTAGCCATTAAATGTCTGGTGTCATAACAGAATACATGTGCAGCACCAGGGCAGCTGCAGATCAAACAGAGGCTAAGATGGCAGCTTCCTTGTCTGTAAAGGATAGGATGGTTTAGTTCTGATTGAACTAACTAAAAATTAATGGGAAAGAAAAAGGATGTGTACTTCATAGCAGTCAATCAGATGCCTTTTTATTTTTTAGACTGCACTAGATAAATGATAGGTAGGTTATGAGAGCTCTTCCTTCCTGCTGGCCACAGGGCCGAGTCTAACCAATAACAAATGAACAGTTTGGAGATTGGAATTAATGTAAACAATAATGGAAGTACACTTTGGAGTTGATTTACCAAAACTGGAGAGTGCAAAATCTTATGCAGCCATGCATGGTAGCCAATCAGCTTCTAGCTTGTTCAATTAAACTTTGATCAAAAAAAAAACTGAAAGTGGATTGGTTTTCTATGCAGAGCTGCACTGGATTTTGCACTCTCTGGCTTTAGTAAATCAACCCCTTTGCTGGATATAGGAAAAAATAGCTCAACCATCCTACCTATACTCAGAATTATGGTGATTCTAAGGAAAGTGGAATAAATAATATAAAGATTTGATAATGCTGAGGTTTTTGTGTGAAAACGTTAAAGCTGAGCTCCAGGCAAACAGCTAAGAGCACACATGAAATACATATAAGGGAGATGTTTACTAGCTATACTTTAGTGTAGAAAAACATGGAACAAAAGTGCCTCTAAGTGTTGTATTGGCAGTTTTATTCACATACAAAGTTAAAATTTCACTTACAAGAAGTCAGAGCATGACAGGCTCATCATAGTATTATCGACCGATGTTCCTGGTGGTGTGGGATAGGGGCTGTCCGGCCGTTCAGCGACAGCGTGATGGCCCCTATCCCACACCATCAGGAACATCGGTCGACAATACTATGATGAGCCTGTCACGCTTGCTTCTTGTAAGTGAAATTTGAACTTTGTATGTGAATAAAACTGCCAATACTACATATAGAGGCACCTTCGGTCCATGCTTTTCTACACTAGAGCTTTGCTTCCAACTCTATGAAGAGCTGCCTTAGTGTCTTTCTGGATTTCCAATCCCTGATGTCCATTCAGACACTACCTTAGTGGCAACAGAGGTCTGGTTCCAGCCAGGATGACCAGGGTTGTACTGGGTAAACAGGGGGGTGGGAGTTAGCTATGATAGGGGTAGTCCCAGAATATGATGAAGAGAGGCTTGGGATAACAAGGTTGTCCTGTGTTATAAGAGAAGGTATTGGTGATGATGAGGGTTGTCCCAGGAGGGGTGTTAGTGTTGACAAGCGTTGTCTTGGGTTATCAGTCTTCGTAATGATGAGGGTTGTACCTGGTTATGGGGGGGAGCTTAGTAATGGTGGAGCTTGTCCCGGTTATAATGGGGTACAGTAGAAAAGCCCCAGTGCTGAGTCACTATCTTTAAACCAATTAAAATCAACTCACTCAAATGCTACCTATGCATTGATTAGCCAGTATAAATCTTTTTTGTACCAATAACTTGTATGGCGGTTATTTTTTTTCTACATTTGTTAACCGCTTCCCAACCGCGCTATAGCTGAAAGACAGCTACAGCGCAGTTGTCCAGTTCTGGGAGAGCGTCCATGGATGTCCTTCTAGGAAGCGCCCCCTGCGCAAACCCAGCGGCACGCACCCAGCGCTGTCGGTGATCGAAATGTCCTACAGACACAGCTGATCACGTGATGGGGTAAAAGGCCATTCATAGCGGCCTTTTACCACGTGATCACACAGCAGATCACAAAGTAAATACAGTTGCTGGCTGGTTATCGGCAGCACTTTCCTCACGCTGTCACAGTGTGAGGAAAGTACTGCTGATAACCGGCAAATGTGACAGGGGAGATCTGCACTGATAATCAGGGCACTGATTATCAGTGCTGCACAGCAGTGTCCCCCATCAGTGTCCAGCAGTGCCGCCAGTCAGTGCTGTCAGTGCTGCCCATCAGTGTCGCCCATCAGTACCTATCAGTGCCCATCAGTGTCACCTATCCGTGCCCATCATTGCTGCATATCAGTGCATCATCAGTGCAAAAACAGTGCATCAATGCACAAAAAAATAAAAAACACCTTTTTTTTTTTTTCTTTTTGCGGTAATTAAATACCACCAAAAGAAAGCTCTATTTGTGTGAAAAAAAATGAAACAAATTTCATATGGGTACAGTGTAACCACACAATTGTCATTCAATGTGCGACAGCACCAGGGGCGGACTGACCATTTGGAAACTCGGGCACTGCCCGAGGGCCCGGGGTCAGTAGGGGGCCCCATGAGATGCCCCTGGTACCTTTTTCATAGGCTTTTTTTTTGGGCAAGGACACAGGGCCCCATGATCCCCTATTGCCGGGGCCCCTGGCCTCAGTCCGCCCCTGGACAGCACTAAAAGCTGCAAGTTGGCCAGGGCAGGACGGGGGTGAAAGTGCCCGGTAGGCAAGTTTAAAGAATTTTTCTTGTTGAATGACTATGAGTTCTGACTTTTCCCTCTTGCATTAAAGTAAACAATGTTTTTGTTTTTTTTTAAATCAGCCTCCCTGTACCAGTAACAGATCTCGCTGTCTTCCTGCAGTATCTGTACGTTTCACTGGGTTCCCCCTGTGGAATTTCACTAAGGTATGGCAGGAATGCTAGTTTAAGGACCAGCACTTCTTTAGCTGGTATCTAGCACTAAATTCCAGTCTTATCCCAACACCTGCTAAATGCCAATAAATCTCCACAGTCCATTTGCATTAATAGTTCAGCAGGAATGGAGGTTTCTGTACAGTTTCAAGGTGTGTTCCTATTAGTCCTGTTTGGTCGTCCTCAGGCTTAATAAAAAACACAGTACAGTAAGACTGATGAGGTTTGTAATGCATTATTCCATATCAACCAAACAAATAAGTAATAAAACAGTGAAGGAGAGTTTGTTTCCTTCTGTTCTCTTCCCCTTTCTTCCTTCTTCCCCGTTCTTCCTTCAACCATCCCTTCCCATGCATCCTTTCTTTGACCCTTCCTTTCACTTCTGTTCTTCTCTTCCTAGTTCCCTTCCTTCCTTCACCCTTCCCTTTAATTCCGCCATCCCTTCCTGCGCTTGCTTACTTTGAGTCTTCCTTCATATTTAGTTATTTTCTTCCTCTTTCCCTTCCCCTCCCTTCTCTTCATCCCCCAACACCCTTCCCGATGGGGAATAATATAGTGTCACTTCATTGACAGCTCTGAGTCAGCTTGGCCTGCTGACACCACATCCAAGATGGCGGCCCCCCAGCAGCAGTGTCAGGGCTTTTAAATACCTACGCTAGGCAGGTTTTTATTGAAAATAATACATAAAATATGCTAAATGCACAAATTATAGAAAAATGACTGCTGAAATGGATGGTCTGTCAGATGGGTCTCTTTGGGCAAAGCATGATTGAATGCAAACACAACTTGCAGTAATTCTTATAACTACAGCCTTCAAGGGTGAAAGGTGATGGTTTCCAGAGAATTAAACTGGCACACGGCTGGGTAAAGAAAATGCCGATAGTAGAGGAAATAGTGTAAAAATACAAATGAGAACTTGCATGTGATAAGGATCAGTGATGAGAAGATGTGGCATGGTACAGTGGTGTTCTAGGAAGTTACCGAGAAGCAGCATAGACGTGGGAGCTGTAGAGAAGATATGTGCTGATATATATGTGTTTAGATTATAGGAGGAGGTGGAGAGGTTGGAGTGTGGTTTACTCATATGTAACAGGACTGAACACCATGCAGCTGTGTCTGCTACCTCTGATGCTTTTCTATACTCATGCCCTAAATCTGGATATGCACAAGCCACAGATCTTTTATGGACCTAAAGGAAGCTACTTTGGATTTTCCTTTGACTTCTACCAAACTGCAGACAACCGGTATGTATCAAAAATAAGAATGGATCTACATGCTTTACAGTAGAGAATGATGGCTTCTTTTTAGGAGTCATTCCATCCAACATGAATACTTCTGATAAATTATAAGCTGTCATTGAGCGATATAAGTTCCCAGCTCCACCCAGCTACCTACGCCATTAAAATGAGTGTCACCTGACATGTTGGGTTTTTCACTCATGTTTTGGTTACTTAGACTGCAGAAGAAGGACTACTCCCATCATTGTTAACATCTCCCTTATAGCCATGAACAATCCCTGTTAACTCCCGTCATCACTAGTCACCCCCCTTGAATCCCATAATAATCCCTGCCATTACTAACCGCCACCTATAACCTGGCACAACCTCAATCACTAAGACCCCCTTGTAACTTGGGATTACTCCCACCATCACTAGCATTCTCCTTTAAAACTTACTCATCCCTTGTAAATCCCCATCATCACTAACCCTCCCCCTTATTTCCAGGAGCAACCCCCATCATCACTAATATAACCCTCTTATAACCTGGCATAACCCTTGTCAACCCTTTTTATCACTAACACCTAATTCTTTACAACTTGGAGTAACCCCATCATCACTAATACTTCCACCACTTATAACCTGGTTGGGACAATCCTCCCCCACCCCCATAACACAGGACAACACCCATCACCACTAACTGCCCCATTCACACTTGTGTGGTCTGATGCAGCATGTTAACCATAGTTCAGTTGCATGACAACGTGCTCTGCACACAATGAGTAATAATACATTACTGTGTGTTGTCACCTGCATGCTGTTGGTTTAGTGCATTTGGGTGCCATTCAAAAAG